AAAGAGTGGAACCAATAAAAAGCAAATCTCAGTAAGTCTTGAAGCTGCAAAAAGAAAAGGAGATAAACTACCTTACATTAACATAGATGCAACAGCAAAATGTTCAAAAGCATTTGCCACATTTTATATTCAAACCCATAGCATATATGCTGCCCTGTTTCCATGTGCTCAGATTCCCATACAAGGGAAAGAGATTTGGGGTTATTTTAACATGCTTTTATATGTTAGCCACTTGGTTCTCAGCAACCTGCCTGCAGCTAAGCTTTTCACCATCGGGATTAAAAAAAATTAACCTCCCAACAAGATGTTTCCTGTGCCATTTGCTTCTTTTGTCATGTTCTCTTTTCATGCATATTACAACCTGACAAATGCAGCAGAACTTCACTAATTCAGATTAACGACTTGGGAGACCTATTGCACCTATTTTGTGGATAAGTAATTGAACAAATACAATGAAAAACCAAAGTACATTGTGTGATACATTGCTCTTGTTCACTTATTTTGACAACAGTTGTGTAATTTTATAATAATTCATAATGGAATACTTTCTGTTTTGCAGAAGTAATGGAACTGTATGACTTTGATCTTGTAATGAATCATAAAAATAACTATGTTTCTTTGTTTGCAAAACTTAATCTTCAAATGTGTTTAACTTGTAAGTTATTCTGCTATTTACTCCTTTGCTTGGAAATACAGGAAACAAAGACCTTTTGTGTCTGAATTTCACAGCATGAATGCTGGAGAAGTTCTGCTGCAGTGAAAATAAACGTTATCGCTCCCATCCTTCTCCTAACTGCACCATTTCATAGGGGAGTTTAATTTTACCAAATCTCTTAACAGTTAACACCACACGCGGCGGCTATTAGAATGTCTAGTTTTCATTGGGGATGAATGAGAGTATGGTGGTATCAAAGCTGAACATATTTTTAATACTTGCGGGTTTGCAGTGGATTTGTGCTGAAATCATTGATATATTATCCAAATTTAAGGTTCCATGGTAATAGCACTATTCATGGCAACACTAGGTTCTAAAACAAGACTTCTCTGGCAGAAATTCTTAAACAAAGTTAAAGAAATAAGTTACTTCCTAAAAATCAATGGAATAGTCAGATGCATAGAAAGGGGTGTTTGATATATATAACTTATATACCAGAAGTTTAACAGTAATAAAGTTTGAAAAGAATTAAAGGAACATATTTATCATTTCATGATACATTATCTGAACTACGGTGCATGCATATATTATAATAGAAAGGAAAATCTCATTGTTTGATAAAGTAGTAATTAAGGATATGGGCACTGCTCTTTTCTTGTGAAGATAAAACAGCTTTTTCTGAAAAGTTTATAGTTACTGTCCTCCTCAAAGATTTCATCTCTACATCAGTGAAACCTTTCTTTAGTGATGATAAATCTCAAATATCTAACATTTATCATAACTGAAGAGAGCCCTTAAAAAAAAAAAAATGAAAGAAAATACTAGCTTTTTTTGAGGTTTGTTTTATTTTGGGGTTGGGTTTTTCCTTTGATTGTAGAGGAAAGAAGAATGATGACATCCTGATCAGTCCAGTGTAACACATGTAGGTTACAATGATAAGCAGCTTGCTTTAGTCAGCCTGTACTAAGCCCATGTGAAGTGAGGACAGTGACTATCAACAAGCTGTCGAAGACTGCAGGCCTGTATCAGCCAATTATAGATAGAAGGAATTTTATATTACATGCACAACTGTAGAGCTACAAAGGACTTAAACCACAGCACAGTGGTGGCACTTTTAATAGATAAAACAAATCTAGGTAAAATGACATCCTGAATTGTATCACACTTCCACGCAGCTCTGTGCCCACAACAGAGTTAAAGGTCTGGGAAAAAATTCTGAAAATTTGGCCGTGCACATTTTGTACAATATTACTTCAGTTAAATAAACTTATTGTGAAAGGATGGCCAATGAAATGCTGAAATATTTGTGTTTTACTTGTGTAGTTACTGGGGAACAGTTGATAGAACTTCAGAGGAATACATTTTACTTGGTAGCTTGAGAAGAGTTAAGTAGGATGCAAAGAGAGGATCTTGTGAGGCAATGATTACACAGACAGGTTTCTATGTATTAAAAAAAATCCTCAAAGACAGAAAAATCAGCTTTTATCAGAAATACATTTTTTTGAAAGCATCTGTGGAAGTTGAGAAAATCCATTCATGAGATTAGGCTTGAGTGATCTTTTTCAGAGAGCAGCTCAACATTTTGCAGTTCAGTATAGCTGAAATTCCTCTAGCATACTGACTTTCTTTTAACATTTCTTTTGAAGAAGCTTCCAAACCTTCTATGATACACAATTATTTAGGAGGACAAATGCTTGCTAAGCAGGTATTCACAATTTCCAGTTCCTGCACTGGAAGAAGAAGTAACACAGACAACAGCTTACTATTTGGAGAGAAGAGAGCAACTCTGAAGTTCAGCTAGGACCATACAGCACATCAGTCAGTGGGAAGTACATAGCTAAGGCTTGAAACGCTACACATCATCTTGCTCATCTGGCTCTGTAGCCTCCACAGTCAGTCTGCCTCCTTTCATTAACTGGTTCTACACCTTGCAAAGCAGCATGATGTGGAGATGATTCGTATTGCAGTAGCAGTATTCTTGGCAGATTTATGATCGTTCCTCAGCAGAACCAATGGAAAATGAGTCTAGCTGGGTCTTTTTATTGACTGAATTTCTATTATCTTCACAGGTGCTTTCTTTCCTGGCTTGTTCTTTTATCTTATTATGGACAGAAGCTACATTTACTGGACAATAGCTTCCACACTGTTCTCTTTTCATTTCCCAGAATACCACACTTTTTGAAGTTACTTTAGACCTGTCAAATTCTGTATCACTCCTTACAACAAACTATTTGTTGTTTCAGTAAGTGCACATAAGCAAGTAATTGTCTTAATTCCATGGCATTTATAGCCACTCATCTACATGGGATATATACATTTTTGAAATATTATGTGTGTTGTTCTACACTATTGTAGTAAGCTTACAAAGATTCAGACATTTTCCACTTGCTCATACATGACTTGTTAAAATTGGCTTTGAAAACAGTTTAGGAGCCAACTTATAAATTATCAGTAAAATTAATTATCTCCCTGTTGCTTAGGTACACACCCCCTGTGAAAAACATTACAGAGTTTTCCATTATAAATGAAAGGTAATGACGTGAATAATGATATTCAAGTCACATCATCTCCAGTTTTTATATCATGATGCAAACTGACCTCATAATTTTGTCATCTTCTGTATTTACAGCCCAATAATGCTTTTCTGGCAGTTCACAAAGGCTACTGAATTTATGAGGCACTTGCAAGTCAGGTATTTTACGAATACTTGCATTTCTCACAAACGATTTCTAGAGAAATTGAAGTCTACCGTGTGTGCTGGACTCAAACAGCATGAGAACTAAGTTATAATTTATACCATTCTCTTTTAAATTTCATTACATGGAAATCCGGGTTTTCATGGTTGATCATGTTAACTTGACATGATGGAAAGCTTTATTTCTACAGATGATGGTATTTATTCTGGTTTTCCGTACATAAAATGCACTGACTACCAAACTGCTTCAGCACATGCATAAAAATAACTTAGCAAAACTTGACTCAACCAATATATGGGCAGAAATAGACAAACGACATAGCTTGGACTAAAATACAGGCAATTCTAATGCCATCAGAATTATGAAACTGATTCTGGAATCAGAGTCCAAAGTGTCAGCCTCGAGGTACCTGATACCTTAGTCTGAGGACTATAGTTGTGTCTCCATTCACTTCATCCACTGTAACAGCTCTTAAGGACAGAGACAGTTCCTTTTATAACCAACACCCAAGGCAAAGAGGTTTTCTAGACCAACATAAACACTTAGATTTACATGTGCAAGGGGGTGGGAATCCAGAATTATACTTTAACTCAAGTAATATGTTGTGTGTACTAGGAAGCCTATGGCTGCACGTTGCAGTAACTGATGTATCTGGATGAACTTGCATGGCAAGTTTCATAGTGTTCACTTCATAAAACCTAACAAGAACATTTAAAATCCAGAAAAACATGGATGGCAAGGGAAATAAGCGACTGAAAACATCTGTGTGAGGAAAAACACGTATTATTCCGCACAACTAACTGGCAGTGTGCTGTCAGAAAACACTTCATACCATTGATAAAAGCTAAAGAAGTATCGGAAATGTCATCTGCTACCATCCCTCCCAACACACATATATATTGTCCATTTAAAACCTGGACAAGCAAAATCAACATTACCACCACCAAATGAAACTGTTCTACTTTTAAAAATAAGTACACCTCTTGTTCAGGCTGTTAGTGATGCCAGGGTTTCACCTGGAAGTGGACAATTAATTTTTCTTATCTCAATCTGATTATTTCTCCCTAGCCACCCTCTCCCCTGGTTTTCATTTTACCTCATATTAAAGTCACAGGTATTTTCTTGCTGATTCCAAACAAAACAGAACAAGCTAAAAACCTGACAGCTAAAATACGCTGTACACAGGATCAATTTGAACTATCCCACAGTGCTGTAACACCCTCTCCTGACTGGGCTATCTATTAAAAAACCCTCTCTAAATAAGTAACATTAAAATCTTCTGTAACAAATGGATTCCCTGACACCTACAGTCATGTGCAGAATTATTTCTAAGCCTTCAAAGCAGAGAGGGAGTGAGGGAGAAAGAAAGAGATTATAAGAGTGTATGTATGTCAGATGAGGAAGATTTGCTGAATCATGCATCAAAGCAGTTGTAGGAGCAAAGCTTGTGTCAGTTACAGTTACATTAAATACACAGTGGTACATCCAAAACATGCAGAATTCAGTTCTGCATTCCAGGACAACACAGACATAATGCAGACAATGACTGAAATGAGCAATAGTAGAGCCCTCTTAAAGTGATTTAAGATTAAATCAAAGAATGTCACACTTAATATTCAGGACACCCTAACTGAATCCTTACTGCCCAGGCTATAAATGGAATCTTACCATGAGCTGGAGTGAGAAAGTGGGCTCATTTCTTTCTGATAGTGATGATCCTGACTGGTGGGCTATGGAAAACAAAAAGTAACAGTGAGAAAATGACTCTGCAAATATTCTTTCAGTATGTTTAGAAGTATGCAAGAGATCTTTTATGAGCATACATACACATTTACAGCTTCTGATATTAGAATTTTACGGCCTTTTTCGTTACCTGTGAAATTAAAAATGGATGTTCAGAGTCTAACTGTGCAAAAGTACGATGTAACAGATGATTCTTACCTGGCTGGAAATAAATATGAATTAAAGAGTTGACCACATGGTCATTTCTCTACTGCCTGTGAGTGTTGGGGCTGAGTCAAGAAGCTTCAGAGAGGGAGGGTGGCAAAGTCTTGTCTGATAGGAAAATCTGGACTGTATGTGCATAGAAAGCATGGTGCAGGAACTCTTAGTAGGATCTGTGCAGAACCAACCATTCTTAAGATGTGACAACACTGAGGCAGAGCTAACAGGACTGGCAGGCACGGCTCATCTCTCATCAGAAGTACCAGTAACAGTAACCTAAGCAGTCCCAAATTAAATTTGCTGAAGCAGATATGATTCCTTATGGCACTGCCAACTTGATGCCTGGATTCAGCTATTCATGAACAGATAATGTGGACTGTGTGAACATTCACACAAAATATAGTAATTTTCTACAGTCCTCAAATGTTACCTATTCATTGTTAAGAATGTGCCCCGAAGTGTGGTGTTTCATGACACAGATTCAAGTCGATGAGGAGACTCAAATCTAACTTTATTACAATCAAGCCCTTTTTATCCCCTTGTTTGGTACTTTTCCAACCTGCACAAGCATGCAACGTTCAATCTCACTGGCCCCTGTAAAACTCTCCAGGTAAACAGTCCCATCACAGTGCTGCAGACCCTCTCACAACCCCCACATCATCAGCTGAGACTCCCACCACAACTACATCCTGGCCCATTCCCCAAGGCTTGTTTTTCGACCTTCCCTGGCCTTCAGCACCCCAACTCATTGCCCCAGGGTTTGTCAAGCACCAAGGCCTCAGAGCTCATTCCCAAACTGTTCTTCATGAAAATCTTATCGCCTTCACACCCCACACCAAAGGTTTCAAACTACCTTTGGTTTATGGCATTACAAAGTTATTTGGAAGAAAGATCAATATTCATGAACTGGTATAAAAATTCAAGAATTCTAACATTCAGAAATGTATTTTCTCTCAGTGTATTTGTAGTGCTTCCAGAAGAGACCCCCCCTGCCATTGTCACACACCTCAAAAGCAGCTCTAACCAAATCACTGAAGCAAGTGCAAAAGAAGTGAAAATACAAGCAATACATTAACAAGACTTGTACGACTTAGTACATGAAATACTAAAAATAAACACTAAGCACTATGAAAGCAATTGTCTTTTCTTACGGAAATCAATATAAAAATTAGTATCTTCTCATGGCTTCAGGAAGCACGGAGGGATGTTGTAAAATGTATGTACAGGATGAATGACATCCTAATTACTGCCAAATATGAGTCACTGCCTGGTGGTGGGTAGTGCAATGCCCAAATGATGGCTACTAGAAGACTGAGAATGAAACAAAAAGTGAACTAGTTAGTCTGTGAACCAGAATATCTGTCTAAATAACTTTTAGTCTCATTTCGTAGTAAAGAATAGTCTGCCTCAGTTTTGCAATTTGACTTGATGTGAACAGATCCCTCCAGGGGTCGTCAGACCGAGCTCTCAGCTGGAATAATTCTGGGTTTAAATATCACTCCTCTTGTCTGTCAGACTTCAGTTCTGCCAAACCATTTCCGTGTGGCTTTCTTTTCTCAGCCATTGTAAAGGAAAACAAGATCTTCCACAAATCAGGACTGAATTTGTACTTAGGAAGCTGCTTGGATAACAAGTAATCTTTCTTTTCTGTGAGTACTCCTTACTCAAAAGACAGGTCTTAGTAGTGAATGCATGCTGGAGTCTGCTAATGCAGCATTACACCACTGCAAGCGTCTTAGATGTTTCAATGAGCAATCTACGAGAATCTTCCTTCTCTTTTGCATTTCTGACTGAGAATCAGAGACAAAATGTAATAAGGTATCCTGAAATCTCTTATATATCATCTCCAGGATGGTTCTTGTACATCTGAAGTGGTCTCTGAAGTATGGAAACAGCTATCCAAGAAGCTGAATAGGCCAACACCCTGACAGAACAGGAAGGTCTTACTGGATCTCTAGAATAAAACAAGGCACCAAAGCAGAAATATTTTATCAGCTTGGCAAATTTTCTTGGTTAATGTGTGTATTTGTGGGTATAAACTTCACATTATACTCTGCAGTATACAGAACTCTGTCTTGCATATTGTTGCAAAGCTAACATGCAATTTCATACACTTTCAGCTTTTAGAAAATATTCAGGTAAGACACACTCAAAGTCTTTACAAATACTTAGTTCTACATGGAGATATTATTGATTTGGAAATGTGCTCTCCTCTTCCTCCCCCCATTTTACAAGGATTTACAATTATTCTTTGAAGTAAATCCATTTAAAAATAAAAGTTTCTCATATTTATAGCTTACAGCTCTGCTAGGTAATGTATAATATTAAAAGCTGGTTTACTCCTTTTGGCTGTCATAGTTTACACCAGCTGCTAAACACCTTATATTTCTCCTGGTAGCCTATATTCAGCTCTCCTAGCAGCCTATATTCAGTTCTCATAGCATGAAAAATCCAGTTTCAGTATATCTGTTTTATAGTTAAGGACATCTGTTCTAACTGCAACTAAGCAATATGATTGATCTCTGTGCCTTTACATTCAAAAGGGTTTCTTAGACTCATGAGACTCAGAAACATGAGAACCTTCAATAAATCTGGAAATCAGAGTAGCAATGGCAAGTGATGAAAAAATAAACTCAGTGAAAATGTGTTTTATATATGCAAAATAGTACTTTGATACATAAGGTCACTGTCTAACATGATTATATCCTGCCCTGCCTTGCAAAAACTTCACAGGTATTTCAACATGATAGACAAAAAGCTGCCTTCTGGTGGTGCTGTTGCCACAGATTCCACTAAGACAAAAATGTGCAAAATGAATGAGAATTTTGAATAAAAATATTCCTTACTTATCTTTGAAGAACATAAGAGAAAGCAATAGATACTACTGGTTTAAATAATCAGAAAGATACAACCTGGAAACATATGTTAGCATGAAAGTTAATCATTACAAGAATTTCAAGCTGTCCTTAGTTTCTCAAACTACAATACAAGGAATATTTCTATTCTATATATTGCACTGCTAAACTCATTTGCCTATGCACCTAGAAGATGGCTAGATACACACTATATATATGCACTTTCCTGCAGTTTGTACGTCTGAATTTGGAAGGCTAGATCATTTGCAAATTCTCTTGAATCAAGTGACAGTTGTAGTAAAGATCAGTGACATAAAAATCTCTTTTTATTCTAAGCTTTACCTTTCATTTGAATACTGGCATCGCTATCACTGTTCTCAAAGTCTTCTGAAATGTTGTAAGCATAACAAAATATACTGAAATTTAACACCAACATACCAAAAATGTTCCCAGCTGCTCTTCTAAAGCGTCTGTGTTAGAACAACTTGGGGTGATTAAATAATCACCTTCCCTAAGAAAAACTGTTTATAACCTTCTTAGATACTAAAGGTCTAGAAAATGAATTATCACCCTCACGTGAATATTCTGCTGTTTTAAATACTGGAACAGAGTTAAATCAAGGAGTGTTAAACACACAGGTCCATAGCGTGTCCACGTGCCCATACCACACCTATGAATAGCTGATGCCATGGCAGCTATCTCAGAAAGAAAAATATGAAGTGAATCACAACAGGTACTGTGGACTAACCAACACTGTGCTGGTACAGGGAGTCCCTTTGCATAAAGTGAGGTAGGGAAGACTGCAGAAGCTGAATTTCAGCAGCCTTTGTTGTAGCAAGGGACTAAGTGGTTAGTCCTTATCTGAGAAAGATTAGGTTTTCTTTCTAAATGATCTCTTCCTGGAAAGGAGGCTCTACACTACATCTTGAAACCTCAGTGCCCACCTCACAAAATACAGAGTAGAAGCCTGACAGGGCTGCATGTACAAGACACACCAACACTTCACTCAACTGAATGAAATTTAAAAAACTTCTCAAAGACAAATATGTTGCCTTTTACACTTGATTTACCTACAGAGAGATGGACACAAAGGACTACTATGAAAAAAAAAGCTATATTAAATTACAAATTAAATTACTAAATTATTATATCTAAGCTCTTTTTTAGACTGATGCTATTAGTCTGAAGCTACAGAACATGATCAAGACAGTAAGATCAAAGAACTGTCTCTACAATCACATTATGCGTCACTGAATACTGCAGCAGTACATTTCATCTTAAAAAGTCCATTTTTGGTTTAGTAATCTAATTTGTATTAACCAAACCTGACATGTCTAAATATTCTTATCAATTTCCTTATAATTAAACCACTCAAAAATTAATGAGACTGCTATTCTCTATTTGAGTTCCATTTGCCCAGCCTTGCAGATTCATACCATGTTGGAGTCTATTAGTAAGTACTAAGAAAACACATTGGAAATAACGAAACCACAACTATATATGTAATGTTGACAGATCTCAGATAGTTAAAACCAACTAATGTTTCTTTGATGTCCTGCAATCCATTACTCTGTACACCAAGTTCGTATTTGCGCAATTACCCACTTGGCAATACATCTCATTTGAAACCTTCATTTACCAGTGTACCATAAAGTTCCTACGCTGTGTTGATCATTCACTATGGAAGAGAGCTGCTATACAGGCCTCTATTTGGTCCCTGTAGATCCCTGGAGGTAATTTCCACCTAACACTTCAGAGCATTTACTTTGCAACAATTTATATTGGGGCTACACTGCAGTGTTTACTCTTCTGACACTGGATTTTCCTCTGAGAGTTGTGTAGTGTGCTTTACTTAAGCCACATTCAGTGTTTATTATTGTTTCACCTATAGTAAAATACGAACTACGTTGCTGAGATATAAATGGAGTATGAGGTTATCTAGTTTTACAGCAGCTCCTGCAAGCACCTTTATATAGGAGCTGAAATGTTATTCTGATTTCATATATTCAATACTCTTCAGTGGACTGTAACAAATATTCTGCTTCTCATAACAGTACTCTGTCACATAGTGCAGCTTGTGTGATTTTGTACCGTTTTGTACCAGGACAAATAAGGATACAAGGTGTGAAATACAGAAGGATGACACACTAAAAGCTCAGAACTACTGCAGCTTTTTGCTGCTGTTCTTCTCCTTCAGTGCTTTCAACAGTTACCTTTTCAGTAATAAGATTTTATCATCATGAGAAGGAATTATTTTCCATTATTCACACTGTAATGTAGTTGCTGACTGGTATATATGGGCTTCATTCATTTTGGAACTTTTAGGTACTATACCACACACCTGCAGGTTGTCAGCCACTACTTTACAAGCTGCACAGCCTACATGATTATTCAGGATTCTAGAAGGAATACATGTAATAGATATGCTCTTTGTCCATGGTGGTACCACAGGACCTGCTGAACTGCATGTGTTTTGGTTGCAGGTTTTACTTGCTAAGTTCTAAAAACATTTGGTAGTGGTATCTTAAATTTCAAAGCTACTCAAACACATTTTGATATTCAAGATCCTTGAGTCTCAGAACTGACAGAAACTATAAACGGAGAAAATACTGTGGCATTAGACTTACTGGCGGGAAACAAGAGTTCCAGGTTGCTGTATCTTCACTGCTTGTACTTAAGCTAACATTGCAGTTATCTATCTGTGATGCACTCAGCCCATGGGAGATCCCAGTATCCCCTGATTCTTCACTTTGCTGTCTCTTCATGCTAGCCAGCATCTGTAGTTCAGATGAACTGAGTCTGTTTGACTGGTAGTATTTCCAGTCGTACTCCTGTGAAATAAAATGGAGTAGTCAACAATATAGACAGGCCCATGGAACAGAACATAGGAATGAAATAAGTACACTGGAGAATCTTGTGGGGAATCTCCTAGAAGCTACAATACTAAAAGAAAAACATGTTTACTATAAAATATTAGTTAACAGATTCCTGCTCAGCTACGAAGACCAAACACATTTAGATATAATTACAGAAGGAAGAACACACTGTCATGGACTACAGTTTGGATCCTGGGTGTTTGGTGAAGTTGCTGTTCCACTGCAATTAAAAACAGAAAATAAAAGCAGGATTTCAGAAGTTTAAAAACCCAACAGGTATGCTTAAGCATCAAATGCAAATCTTGAAATAAACCCGATCACAGAGCTATCATAGTACCATAAACACCAGCAACATAACATTTAGTTATTTGTCAAGTACAGCATAAAATTTCTCTGGAAAGCAACACATACCATCACTAAATTTTAAGTTATTTTGGTAACTTGCTAGTGTATAAACTAAAATAAATTACTTTAAAATAAACAGTACAGCAACATTTAATACCTTCAGGTTTCACTCTAGAAACACCACGTTCAGAAAGGAGAACAGATGTCATAACAGTTTTCTGTGCTAAACATCGTACACAATAAACTCTTTGTGAGAAAGAAGAAATAGTTCAGATTATTTATTTTGTAGCTTGAGATGCCCACTACAGAACAGCCTCTTCACAAATTATGTATTGTCTCAGCCATAGAATTTGAAGTTAAGTTCACTCTGTAACTTAGGAGAAACTTTTGATGTAAGAATTAATTTTGCAATACTCATAAATTTGCCTAAAATTAATATTTCATTTAGTAATTAAAAGATTATCTTCTCTTTCTGCATATCCTCCCCTTCTGGTACAGTATTTTTATTAAATGCTTAAAACTGTCACTAGATTGACAAAACCTTTTGAAAAGATTTTTTTATATATATATATAAAGACATTTGCATTCTTCTAGGTTCAAACAATTTATTGAGGATTGTTTGAGTGTAGTTCCATGCGCAGAAAACTTTTAATTGCCAGCTATCTGCATGCTTGCAATATTACCCAGAGGGCTGCACTTCTTTCTTAATTGAAAATATTTGAACATAATAATAGAGAACTCTATTAAAATATGAATAAAACATTGCAACCATGTCCTTAAAGTGTATTAAGTAGTCAGCAAATCAACTGCAGGAAGACTTGGTTAAGCATTTTTTTTTTCTTTACCAGTCCTCCATATAAGCAGATTAGAAAAGTCTACTTCTCCATAAACTCCAGTATCCTCTCATGCAAAACCATCCTTTCATACATCATTCTTAAAACAATAAGCACTGTTTCAAAATGGAAATACAATTATTACACACCCACAGCCAACAAAAAAAGTCTCCAGCGTTCTCTCACTGTAGTTAATATATGTCAGCACTTCCTTTCCTGAAACTTACAGGCTCTAGAATAGTTTCTTCCTGCAGAAGTGCTGCAGCAAAACCACTTTGCATATGTATGAGGTCAGAAGACACATTCAAACAGCTTACTGTATAAATCTTAAAATTGACAACATTCTGAATAAAAATTTTTTTTTCAAAGAACATATGTAACTTCATAATCATATGAAATATAATGTTTCATTGAGCCACAAAGAAGAGACTCTTCCAATGGTTTGTGTTGGACCTTAAAGCTTAAAGCTCACCCAGTTCCAACCCCTGCCACGGGCAGGGACACCTTCCACTATAGCAGGTTGCTCCAAGCCTCATCCAGCCTGGCCTTGAAAACTGCCAGGGATGAGGCATTTATTCTTGTGGTCCCAGCAGTGGTACCCCTTTCAAGATATTACTATCCAAAACCCACTCTTCCATCAATGATCATGCTGTTGCAAGATTGAACATCCTTGGGTAAAATAAAAAAGTTTAAAGAACAGCAATCCTGAGACTAAATACCATAAAACTCCTTGACTTGTAGAAGAAACAGTTGCAGGGGTAGAGGATACACAGCCATCAGATAATAAATGGCATAGGTAAGAACAGTAATTAAAAAAGATTATTCATTGTTTCTTGTAACACAGACCAGGAATGAGTCAGTGCATTCAAAACAAATAAAAGGAGATAAGCTTTTCCCACACACAGTAGTTAAACTCAGAAATTCACTTTCACAGCCAAAGGCCATACAGGTACAAAAGAGAGCTACACACATCTATGGAAAAAAATTCCACCACCAGTTACTCACCACAAAGACAACCCTTTTCACTGAAGGAATTGCTTAGCTATGGGTTGCTGGAATGCAGCCTGCAGGGCACGTTGGGGAGGTAGCACTGGGTGCTTGCTCTCTCCTTGCTGTTTGTTTCTTGTTTTCCTAGCCATCAGCAACTGAGTGCTGCTGGACAGAAGTTGCCAGCTACATACATCTTTGGTCTCACAGGGTATTAGCTGATGTCTGAAAAAAGAAGATCCCTGAAGCCTGAGGAAGAAGTGTGGCCTGTTTCACTCAGGCACTCAGGAATAAATCTAATCTACTCCTAACACATTTAGAGAAGAGGCCAAATGTTATAAGATACAAATCTGCACTAATTCTAAGCCCAAAAGAATTCTATCCAAAATGGAAAATAAACATACTATTTCATTTGTGATTTACAGAATACACTTGATTCTTAAGCTCCAGTTCCTGATTCAAAATACATCATTATAAGCTTGAAAAGAGAATCAGCTATTAAGAAATATTTAAGAACATAATTAAGTTCATACTCGTTCTTTGAATTACTGCATGTTTCTGTAAGGAGACTCCATCAAGGAAAAAAAATACAGGAATAAACCAACACTTTGATGAATGTAAAAATTCTTTTAGTATCCTGGGAATTCAGCCTATGACACAGCCTTACTGCTGGCCCTCAATCAGAAAATTTGTTGTTTTTCAGGGCTGTTGCAGACAGACTATGAAGTATCCCATGGCAGGGGGTTGGAACTGGATGAGCTTTAAGGTCCCTCCCAGCACAAACCAGCCTGGGATTCTGTGACACTCCTTGTCAGTGGCTCTGACACGGTGACCAACACTCATGTCCCATTGATTGCTGGCAGCAGAAGTGGCCACTGAAACTACTGGAAGCTTGCACTGGTTGAAGCAGCCAGGCACATGTATCTGAATTATCCTTGCGGCCATGAACAGGGGACGGTTTAGTGTGAGGTTGCCCTGCCCATGGCAGGGGGTTGGAACTAGACAATCTTAAGGTCCTTTCCAACACTAACTATTCTCTGATTCTATGATTCTATCTGCATAAACACTTTTTCTATGGTCCTTCATTAATCTGTCAATTCAAAGTCTGTCAATTTTCCTTTGTAATCTTTCACACCAAAACTCACATATTTCCAAAATGTGGGCTGCTCAATGACACTTCTTTTTATCTGTAAACCTCTGTGTTTTCTATTTGGAGTACTATTTTGTGTGCCTCAAAAAACTACAAAATCAACTTTCAATAGACTGAGCTCAGTAAATACTGTTACGATGAAACCAGAACGTATCTGGATGGAACACATGTTTTCTCAGTTGGTGAAAATAAGCATATCTAAATACAGCTTTCTATACAATGTAGTAACTTAATTTCAAAGTAAAAATCACTCACAAAACTCTGTGTTGTCAGACATGAATTTTCTCTTGAGATGTTCTTCAGAGATTTTTTACTGACAGGCCTTTTTAACTGACCAGAAACTCTTTCATAGCTTTCATTTTTCTCAGATCCATTTGGAAATTCTTTAAAGAATGCAGATTTACTTGTGGTTGGAGACAGAGAAAGAGTAGGCTTTAAGCTTTTCTGAGAGCTAACACAATCTGTTTTGCTCACAGTGGAACTCTGTGGTTTTGATAAGATAGTCTCTTCTAGGTTGTGTTTGCTGCATCCCTTATTCTTGCAGTATTCATTTCTCCATGACATTCTCTTTAATGGGCTCTCTTTAAAAACTGCTGAATCAGATGCTCCTGGCCTGCTGTGGCTGATCTCAAGGTTCTCTGTTCTCTGGATAAACTCACCGCTGTCATCCTAAATTTAGGAAACAAAGCAAGAATGATTCCCTCTTGTCATCGCACAATACAGTTTTACATAACCTTAACGTTTGAAAATGGCTCTTTAATCTCTGCTGCTTAGTTCTCATTCTGCAAGGATTCTGAAAATCAGCTGCTCTTCCTGGCAACTACACTGAGTACAGCACAAACATCTTACATCAAGTAATGAAAAGCAGAAAGAGAAGGAGAGGGAGACAAGATGACACTTTTAAAAATGTCAGTCCAAATTTAGAATGCTGGTAACCTCCCAGATCTGAGTGTTATGAATGCTCCATCCCTGGCAGTGTTCAAGGCCAGGCTGGACAGAGCCTTGGGTGGCATGGTTCAGTGGCAGGCATCCCTGCCCATGGCAGGGGGGTTGGAACTGGATGATCTTAAGATCCTTTCCAACCCTAACTATTCTACGATTCTATGATTCTATGATCATCATTTCAACAGAATTTATTACAACTGTAAACCAAAAGTAAAAACTCCACAATTATGTCTTTTCACTGAATTATTAATATTCCATACTTTCATATCACATCTTCAACTTAAATGTAGAAGGAATAACTCATGGTGAGACCACTTTACTCACCAGTAATAATACTTGAATATCACATTCAGCACCATTTGAATATCATTTAAGAGTTTTGGAGATCACTTTGTTAACCTTAAATTCGTGCTTGAAACAGTGTCTCCGCAAAATATGCCATGAATCAAGGGTATGATGATCAGTCATACCACATTTCAACAATAAACGTCAAGACCAAACACATGGAAAGAAAAATAATGGGGAAACACATCCAGCGTTTGCCTCAGGATTCTTATTCTCAGAGAAAAGAGGATCAGAGAGGCCTCACCTTCATTTCATCATGCTGGTCATCTGCATATGCCACCGCAGTGGATGTAAGATAGCATGTATTACAAGGTTCAATAAGACACTGAAATATCATCTTCATTATGCCTCTCACAGGTAAGGTGCAGTCCTACTGCTCATGAAAGTGATCCAAGTATTTATATCTAAGATACTGATTTCAGTGAGTCCAAGACTGGATTACACAGAATAAAATGAACATTCAAGAAAATAATCCTCAATTTTATTAATGATAAATGTTTTGGAAGTTTTAGTCCCTCACTTAGTAATTGCCTTGAAACAGCAATCTGTATTTCCCTCTTTTCCATGGATTTTTTATTTGCCATAAGTTACCTTAAAACTGTGTTGGAAACCCACATTACCTTAGGTTAACTGAGGATGGAATACTACTAAAGAAAACCCTGTATTTTTTTCTCACACACATTAGAGATAAATGGACAATTCTGATTTATCTAAAGTTTAAATCCTTCAAACCTTTCCATGTCTCTTCCACCATTCATATTTATTTAGGCTCTAGAATAATTTGTAAATCATGAAATGCTGCCAGAAACATCAAAAAAGTTTGCTTGATTAACTGTAGCACAGCATATGTAAATTGAAGATGAGACTCATTTTCCTGAGGAATGAGCACTTCCATTAGTGTGATGCATTCCCTGAAAGATGCAGAGGGGCAGTTCTGGATACATAAAACTGATTGCTTTTACTGGCTTGTAGTTTTAAGATCATTCTAATGACTCTAGAAGGCCACCTACTAGGAGCAGATGGGATACAGCCCTTGTGTACACTGACATTTAATCCTAAGGTATCAGAGTGAAGTTATCTATCAGCCTTTGTAAGGGCACATTATCTTATTTCTTTATTCTTTGAACTGTAGAAGGACAGAAAAATTCTCAGTTTCTTCATTGAAGGCTTCTCTGATGAACTTGCCTGTTACACGTAAAACACATTTTTGCTAGCACTATGTGACATGTGGTCACACCTGCCACAGTCACAGCCCTTGCTATTAGCAAGAGTTCTCGGGTTTGCTCTGGGTTGGGCAGAATCCACAAATGTTGTCATGGAAAGTTTACCTATACAAAGTCCCTGACAGGAATTTGAGAAGCAAGCATAGGCATGCCTAGAATTACAAGACAAGTCACTTGATAATGAATGGTTCCACGAGAAGAAGCAATTTTTATATTAAACTGATTATTTGACTCTGATAACTGAATAACAGCACTGGCCTATTCCAGTTACTTATTAGTGACCTGTAAGGGTAATTTATAAATGCTGTTTTCAGTTTGCAGCCTGAAACATTCCCTCCCCAAAAGCCTAAAGTTACAAAAACTGTATAGTTTTAGCACAGATAATCTGTGCATTTTATGGCTCACAGTATATGCAACATAAAGAGAATAAATGCTTATTTATTTGAAATTCATCCTGAAATTCAACTTGCCTCTTATGTTTTACAGTTAAGTAAATACTTTTGTAGACAATACTGACTTTCCACAAATTTAATAATTCTTTGAAATCCAAACAGTTCTACACTTTTAGGAGGGCATCCTATATAGTACTGCTCATAGAATTATAGAATAGTTAGGGTTGGAAAGGACCATGAGATCATCTAGTTCAAACCCCCCTGCCATGGGCAGGGACACCTCACACTAAAACATGTCATCCAAGACTCTGTCCAACCTGGCCTTGAACACCACCAGGGATGGAGCATTCACAGCTTCCCTGGGCAACACATTCCAGTGCCTCACCACCCTTATAGCAAAGAACTTCTTCCTTATAGCCAATATAAACTTCCCCTGTTTAAGTTTTAACCCATTACCCCTTGTCCTATCACTACAGTCCCTAATGAAGAGTCCCTCCCCAGCATCCCTATAGGCCCCCTTCAGTCACTAGAAAGCTGCTATGAGGTCTCCATGCAGCCTTCTCTTCTCCAGGCTGAATAGCCCCAACTTTCTCAGCCTATCTTCATATGGGAGGTGCTCCAGTCCCCTCATCATCCTCGTGGCCTTTGGACTTGTTCCAACAGTTCCATGTCCTTTTTATGTTGAAGACACCAGAACTGCACACAATACTGCAAGTGAGGTCTCACGAGAGCAGAGTAGAGGGGCAGGATCACCTCCTTTGACCTGCTGGTCATGCTCCTTTTGATGCAGCCCAGGATATAGTTGGCTTTCTGGGCTGTGAGCGCACACTGCTGGCACATGTTCATTTTCTCATACACCAACACCCCCCAAGTCCTTCTCCACAGGGCTGCTCTGAATCTCTTGTCTGCCCAACCTGTAGCTGTGAACTACCAGGTTAGCTAAAACTGATTTAATTCTGAAATTCTAGAACTTTGCTTGAGATAGGCTTATGGGTTTAAGTTAATAAATAACACACTGCCCTAAATAATGGTAGTAAAAACTGTAACAACTACAGAAGAAAATTTGGGCTTCTTATAACTAACATCAGCATTTTGGGTTCTCAGAGATGCAGAATATCTTGCTATTATGAAACTCAGCTGCATTTTATTTCTCAGCTATAAGCAACAGAGTAGAATGCTAAGGAACAGATTTTATTATTCAAAATGAAATCAAATGTTCATAAAGTTATAAACTGTTTTAGTCGTTACCATAATGACACAATACAACTATTGCGTGCATTGACAGCTTGGTGGATTTCTATATAGAAACAGCTGATACGTTTGCTAAAAAAGTATTTCTTTTCTTTCATTAAATTCATTGCTGAAATATTTCCACATTGCAAAAGAACTGAAGTTGGTGATGCTGACATAGCTTAGACAGGACATAAAGTATAAATACCAATCATCAACTGATATTAAAAAGCTGAAATTTCTTAACTCACTTTTGTCAACAGTGGTGGGCAAGAGTCACAGCTTGCAGTTTTAAAAGGCACAAGAAAGCCTCATTTTCCACACTCTTGCTCAACCCTAACAGACTTACATCTTGCTCAACTCTGTGATGCAGGTTTTCCTAAAATCTTTTTTGTTGGAAACATGCACGATACTCACATCTCTGTTGCCACAGGGGCTGACAGGTTTAGATTTCTTTTGTCTACATGTTTGACGGAACAAGTTGCCCCATCAAGCTTTGGCTGCCCCATTGCTTACAGCATTCAAGGTCAGGCTGAAGGGGGCTTTGAGCAACCTGATCGAGTGGAAGGTGACCCTCCTTGTGGCAAGAGGCTGGAAGTAGATGAGCTTTATGGTTCCTTCCAACCCAAACCATTTTATGATTTTCACAGCTGTATCCAGTTAGGCAAAGAACCCTGACAAAGACAAATCTACCCATAGATTTACAGGGAAAAGATGATTTATCCTCTATATTGCCTGAAGACAGAATCTCAGAAGTTTTACAATGAAGACTACTTTATCAATAATTACATGTGCAAAGTAGCCTACCTCTTCACTGCTGTCAGTTCCTTGAACATTATCTTCAATCTGGGTTTTCCCATGTACTGCACTACTATCTTGCTTCAAATCCAAATGGAAAATGCCACATTCTGGTGCCATATCTGGAGAATTCCCACGAGGAGCTGATTGAGGTCTTGATGAAAATGTTGAAGACTCTTTATTACTCACTTGGTGATCACCTGTTTCATTGCTGTGATGCTCAACTGAGGCATTCTTTGGCAAGGTTACATTACAGCAGGCTGAATCTTCAGCAACTACAAACTGCTCACTCCTATCCAACTGCACACTCTCAGTGAGACTTTTTGGAAACACCCATTCATCTGAAACGTAAAATGCTTATTTTAATGCCAAATATATACGTTGCATGTTACCCTAATCACTCATTTTCTCTGGAAGTTGTACAGCCAAAGAAATTTTTCTAATACAGAACATTCTGCTTATCAGATTTATACAGCTTTAAGAGTGAGGAGGTTGCAATGAAAAGGATCAGGCTGCTTTCCAGGTGAGGCAAGGTTAAATCAGAACATTTCCAGATCACAGCTCACGAAATCCACAGGCTCTGATATATGATCTGCAAACCTGCGATGTGCAAATCTGAACTATTTAACTGTTAAAATTTGAAACTGTTCAACTGAATTTCACTCTAGGAAATCATAATTTTATTAAATTTGGTTATTGATCTTCTTTAGACTTTTTTGTGGTTTACATTTAAAAAGAAATCACACATAGTGAGTGGAAAGTTGATATTACAATCTGATGCTTCTTTCTTACTGAAATTCTACGCTTTTTTTTATGTCCAGAACCTATGGTTGAAATCTCAATTTCAAACTATAGCTCTGATGCAAAACAGTATGACATGAAAAATTAATTAAGATCTCTGTTTCACCAAGTTTCCCTGAATACAGGCAGTACTAATCTACCAATTTTAAACCAATAATAAACTATAGAAAGGCATTTAAAGATTGAGTGCCCCAGATAAACATGAAAAGGCCATTTTTACACTCTTACTATTAACTTACATTTTACTGTTTGGAATGATTGTGTAGAAAAAAAATGCCAATTTGATTGATTAAAACCAATTTCAAACTGCATCTGAGAAAAGGAGAATTGCTCAAGTATGCAATACTCCCTTATCTTCATTAAAGGTAGTGTGGTGTGGATTATTCACTAGATCTTGAAACTTTCTGGCTCCATAAAAAAAAGTTACCACCAACCATGTTAAAAAAGCCTCAATAAAAAATTACTAAGACCATAATAATGAAATAGCACTGCACTAATAAAATCCTTGCTGTCACAGAAGACATTCTAGTCCTTTTAGTTTTGTTAGAGAGAATTAGCACTTCAGGCAGATTGAGCTGCTTTGAGAGGAAAAAAAGAAAGTCTCAGCCACCATAAATGAAGGCTGAGACTTCATTTGATGACATCTCATTTTTTTGATGAGGGATTTGATGAGGGAGATGCTAGGAAAAACAGAAACTGGGTTGCTGTGATTTTCCCAGTTTAGTAAAGATAGCTAGTAAAGCTGCCAAACTCCGATACTCCAAGCAGTTTGTACTAGGAATCAGTGAAAGTGGGGCCTTGACACATGGATGGCTTACACCTACATGTTCCAGAAGAGACTTCAGTGTGTAGATGAAGACCATCTACAGGCATAAGCCCCAAGCCTTTTCAAGTAAACTTTTCATTTTAGATAATCATGCTGCTTTAAAGCAATCTAGTAGATCGTTGTCTACTGTACATAAAAAGTCTGTTTCACAAGTATATAGAAATGTCACCTTGCTTTTAATAAAGACATAAAATACAAATATGTAAGTAATGTCATCTATTTTAGGAATGTGTTGGTCTAGTCTTTTCAAGAGCCTCAAAGACATTAGTGCTTTTAAGACATTCAGAACTTTTAAGAACCAACTTTCATTTGTATAAGCCAAATGACCTTCTCTTCTGATCAATAGCTACAAGTCTTTCAAAGGAGGATAGTAGAGCAGAATTGTTCTGGCTTTGATCACTCAAGATTCTTAGTCAGGCAACTGGAATTATGTTTTGGATGCTAAATCTACAGTGGTTTAAACTCTTTATTTTTTCCCCAGGACAACTATATAAAAATTTTCACCTTGCTTCATTCTTCAAAACAAAAAATATCTTAAAAATTTACTTTGCTAAAATGTTTTTCCTATCTCAGCATTCTGTTCAGATCTTCTGAACAATCTGGCACCTACCCTTTCAGCTTAATCTAGACACATTTTACCAGGTTTCAATGGCAGTGGCTTGAACAAGACCAAGATGTGTAACATATACTCCTTTAGTATTCAGAAGGCCTTTTCCCCGATCATGAAATTAGGTTTGACATGTATCATGATGTATTTGCAGTTTTCAAACATGCACTAATAGTCCAGACCACTGTAAAGAGCCATCTATGGTTATACACAAGCACTTCATGAGAACCTGCTAATTTTTATGCACAAAGGACTGTGAATGAGTAGGGAGGAATGGCTTCATATTTATTATGGCCTACTGACCTAATAACAACCAGCTTCCCCAACTGCTTCACCTTTCTAGTCTCATTTTAGAATGCCTCCTAATGCAGTTGTTGCTGTTTGATTTGCAGAGGTCATTAGAGATAAAAGTTTGTAATGAATTCTGAAGCAAAAGAAAAGGTGTCAAACCACTTGGGGTTTGAGATTTTAAGTCAATTTTGAATGAAGTATCAAAATATGAAAGAAAATATCTTAGGCAACAGTTTTTGTCAAGTGTTCAGAGAACAGGAAGCAATTAGAAGCTTAAACTCTTGCCTCCTCCTGGTTCTGCCCCAGATATCAAAAAACTTCTTACACAGCACTTTACTCCCCATTGTGAGTAAAAGTAATGTCTTTACTCAGATCTAAAGCACTTCAGAGATACAAAGAAGTACTTTAAAAGATTTAGTGTCTGCATAATATTTAGCCTGAGTATTCAGGTTGTTTAGTCTAACGTCTGTAAAGAGCACTTGCTTCCAGAGATGTTTCCAAGGCACATACTTGGGTTAGTAGTGAGTTAAATGCAAGTTATTAGTTTATATGCCACAGTACTTAATGAAATATGTAGGGGAAACCAGAAAAGTCTGTAAGGCTTTAAAGACGGCATTTTATGCTATGAAGTTCAGCAATTTCTTCAACCTGTAGTTGGTGTAGCATTCTGTTAGCAGCCTTCAAGTGACAGATTGAGGAAGTTTTGGACCAAACCCTATTATCTCTCTACCACAAACTATACTGGATTTTCTTTTTAACTCAGTGTTTCCACATCAATTGTAATGAACAATTTGGAGTATCTCAGCAAAATATACAAACTACTCTGTAATCACAACACTGCAACTAACAAGATAAATGCAAGAACGATCACCTAAACATCTAATTAGTTCTTCTACAAAGCGAGACTTATTCTAAAGCTTCTAATTACAGCCTAACATTTTAATGAGGGTTTCAGTATTGCCTAAATAAGACTGACAAACTATAAACAATGCTCACTCATTTTATTTCATCCCTTGCTTAAAAACAATTTACCTTGGTAAAGGTACTGCACAGAAGACATGCTGAACTGATGTCTATAATAAATCTAAAAGATACTGTTATGAAAAGTAGGGACTAACCTCTGAGGTAATCAGAACCTTAATCAGAGGTTAGCAGCGACTAACCTCTAAGATAATCACTTATGAAAGCTCCACTATCCCCATGACATTTGTATCAATATTTACTCACAGTTCTTGTTGACAGAACTTGTTTTGACCACAGTAGAGGTGGGGAGCCAGAGACCACATAGGCTTGATTTTGCTTGGGGAATGTGGTTTTGTGACACCAATTTGTCACAGGTATACACACATTAGCATCATTGGACTTGATGATCTTGAAGGTCTTTTCCAACCAAGTTGATTCTATGATTCTAAAGTGGCAGGACTATGCTTTTGGCTAAGTCATCACCACTGAACAAGGCTTGTGTTTTGCTGACTATGAGGCAAGATCAGTTGTTGGGAGCTTCCTGACTAGAACATCAATCCTGGGGTTTATGGAGTTACAACAGTTTTCATTCTCATAAACACATGCAGTAAAATAGCAAAAAACACCTAACAGCAAGTATGGATTATTGACATTGTCCCAGTATGCAATGCCTTCTAAACATCCCAACGATTAAACAAAATGGAAATAACACACAATATGAAGGAAAAATTCTTTGGTTAACAAAGGCTATGCCTTTTAAGAGAAAGTAACATTATTTTTCATAAAATTAATGTACTTTCCAGGCATATACAAAGCAAGTTGACACTGCATGGCAAAAACTATCCACACCTTTTGGCAGATAGGTGTGAAAGAGAAATACACCATAAGCTGATGTGTCCTTCTGTGGAAAAAAAAAAGTAATTTCACCACTGAACTTTAAAAACAAAATCAGACCCCCTGATATTACATAGATACCATAATTAATATCCTAAACTCTTACCTGGGACAAGTAAAAGTTCTCATACATGTGATGTTTAGTGTTAGATTTAATAGGGATTTAAAGAATAAATTATTTTTAGTTCTTTCCCTTTAATCAAGAGCATAAAAGTTTTCTTTTTTTATTCATCCACTGTTCTGGCACTCTGCTTAATCCTGCAAATCTTAATGCTTAAAAGCAATTCTTTGGCAAGGTGTTTGATTTGCATAATCCTCCAGAACACATACATTTATATTTTCTATTAACTGCTTCTGGGTGCTCTGAAATTTATAACAGATAGTCAGTCCCCCACACCACACACAACTTTAATATAAAATAACATAAAATGAGCACCATACCACTGGATATTTTCCATGTAGTTTTGGCTGCATCTTTTAAAGATAATCTTCTGTGACTCTTTTTGTCTGCTGATGTTCCTTCTGATGAGTCAAGCTGAAAATCTACTCTTCCACTCTCAGAGGTATCCTGAGTCTGAACTGCAGGGTCTGAAATACAACCCAGAAACTTATGAAATACCTGTGAACATGCGTATTGTGTGCTTTTCTTACTTCAGGCATGAAGAAACAGCATACGTAGCTTTGTCTTGGGATACAAACGTCTTCCAAACGGCACAGGAATCTTGTAGGGCAGCAGGAATATGACAGTCACAAGAAAGCAAAAATTTAACACTAGGCATAGAAGAAAGGCAAACCACAGCAGCTATAAAAAAAGCCTTGCAGAAGTCTGCAAAATTATCAAGAATCACTCAGCACCTCAGTTGCATATACAGTATGAAGCAAAACTGAAGATGTGTACAACCTGCGGCTACTGCCATAGGGTTGTAATCCGTGGCTCAAACACTCATGAGTACCTGCAGAGAGAACAAGCATTTATGCAAGCTCATGCAGGAGAATCAGCTATGATTTAATATAAATGTCTTCAGTAATTAACAAGGTTAGATAAGGGATATGAAAAACAGAGAATTAAGTCTTACAATCTTAAGTCAAAATCATGCAAAATCTCTGGCAGCTTGTGAACTCTACAATATTCTTCGCTTTATGCTCTTACCATGTTGACATATATCTTTAGTTGTTTGGTGAGTATTTCTTTTGACTTCGTGATCTAAAGAATCATTGCACAGTGAGAACAACAGCTCCAATCTCTCAGTGTCTTGTATGGATCCAGCTCCCTTTCCCTTGACTTGAAGTCGGCAAGATTTATTACTTTTGCTGCTGCAGGTCTTTGTTCCCTTGAAAAACATTATTTTCTTAATGAAAGTCAGAAATGTAACAGCTTTCAAAATACTCAAACGTAAATACACATTTTAAATCAAGCTTATCTGAAAAATAAAATGTTTCCAAATATTTATTTATTTATTTATTTAAAGTATGATCTTTCAGGAAACTGAAATGAAGAGTTTCCGCTCTGCATCACAGCTCTCAAAGGAAAACTATTTACACACACACAAACTCCATCAGGCTAGACAACAAATTCAGGAAAGTAAGAATGATTAGAAGTCAGAGTGATTTCAGTAGGAAGAAAACTCTGCAGGCATAATGCTCAAAATAGATCAGCCTTTTCCAGTTAAGTTTTGTTATCCTTGAAAGTATGGAAATTCTACAGTCTCCTTGTGATGCTGTTCCAGTATTGAACCACTTTATCATTACAACCATTCAGAGCTTCCCTGCAAATCTGGGACTCCTGTCTCTCTACTGCACCTTTTAGAAGATTCTAGCCTGTCTTCTCTTCAATCCTGCATTAGCTGAAAATAGGAAGTAGATTGTCCTCCTGCCTTCCCTTCTGCAGTTTGAACAAACTCATGCCACGTGCTGTAGCCACCCAAGCATTTCACTCGCCCTCCACTGGATGTTACAGTATCTCTTATTCTGGAGGTCCACAACACAATACTCTGGACATAACCCCACAGTTCTTAAAAAAAAACTTTAGTGTAACCCCTCTGCTTGTCATCTGTTCCTTTATAAAACTTCCAGCAGTTCCGTCATAATTTAAGCTTTCTTACCTCTCCAGATACCCTTGTACTGACTCTTCTGTTTGAAGACGGAGGTGGCCCAAGGATCTTTGATCCAAACGCAATATGCGATACATCCTGGGTTTTACCTGTGCGTATACTGCGTTGTCCTCTATTAATTGAGCTACCTAAGAAAAATAGCTTTATAAGAATTACAGTACTTACAAAGAATGAATATGAATTTTTTCAACTGGAAGAAAATAATCATAATTACTAAATATATATACAAGTTACACTCCTTTATAGCACAATCCCTAGCAATATGCAGGAATAGCAAATGCACATTTTATAGGAGCATTTCAACATGCAAGCTTTCTCTAAAATGGGGCTATTTATAACAAAAAAATTATTTCCATTATTTCTTTAGAGCTAATGAAACCCTAATTTCTGACAGGAAGAAAAATCAACTCTGAATAATACATAACAGAATAAATAAGTAACAAAACAGGAAAGCTGAAGCGAGACTGTCAAGGTATCACTCACAGCTCAGAGGAGAACTATTTATATGTTTCTTGCTTTATGAAATCACTGAATCTACTCTGTTACCAGGGCTGATCTCTAAGATTGCAAACATACTCTATTCCTTTTAAAACCTTCTACCCTTTTTACTATTTTTTTACTGTTTAACGCATAGATGCATTTTAATAATTAGTTTCAAGCACAGAAAACTCCAACCACTCAGGACAACAAACATGAAGTAAACATGGAACACAGGTGAATGTTCCAAAAGAAGGGAAGAACACGGAAAGCCTTACACATTCATTTTATCACGTTGATGCAGAACTTCATCTAATACCTGGTTTCCTCTTTTTTAATACTCCCAAGATTGTCAGAGAATTCTCCTTTCCAGAGCTGATAAAAAGGGTAACCTCACATTAACTTATAATGTCTGAAGATTTTTTTCTTGCAATAACTTCAGTGTTAATTTGCTATCTCACTTTAGAGATCTGACACCTCCACAAGGCAATGAAGCAGAAACAAAACTTTTTGTTGAGTCTCCTAAGAATTTCTCATACACTTATTTAACCTTCATGATCAGCTTTATTTTCAGTGTCATAAGAAAGATATCATACATTAGCCACTGAATAACACAATTTACTGCACTAATAAGCACAAAAGAAGCAACTTTCTCCCATTACCTTCTCCCCTTTTTCCTGATGTGACAGTTGGTGGCAGCTAACAGCTGCTACTTCATAAAGATGACTGTCTTGGTTTAACATCATTTCATTTAATTTGCTGACTACCTTGGGATGTTGTTAGCTCTGATTATAAAAGCTGATTTGTATGGAATTCTCTCTTTACAAACACATTAATTGACTGCAATTATTTACCTACATCTACCCATAACATTAAAAGTTCATATTAAAGATAATTCAGGCATTTGATTATCAAAGAAACAAAGTTTAGTAGATAAAAAGAACATTTCCCATTTAAAATGTACTTAAATATACCAAATCTTCCATTTTCAAGGACAACTTCAGCAATTTGCAAAACATGTCTTCAGCAATTTGAAAAACAGATGCTATTATTAATTATTTTACTACATATACCTAAAAGCTATAGATCTTTCTGGTCTGGACAATAAAACCTGAGCTGTGTTTTAAATGAACATTCATTATTCTGTTTAGATCTATGATTCACACTACTGTATTCATTTAAGTTTTACAGTCCTTTCTATTTTGACAATCCAAACAAGAAGCATTGATTTTTTAATACAGACACTCGAGATGGAATTAGATGGAATATAGAGCAGTCAGCCTCACCTCCATCCCTGGGAAAGTGATGCAACACCTTATCCTTGGTGCCATCTTAAGGCATATCAAGGATAAGATGGTTATGAGGGGCAGTCAACATGGCTTCACCAAGGGGAAGTCATGCTTGACCAATCTCGTAGCCTTTTATGAGGAAATAACACGGTGGATGGATGATGGCAGAGCGGTGGATGTGGTCTACCTTGACTTCAGCAAAGCGTTCGACACGGTCTCCCACAGCATCCTCGCAGCTAAATTGAGGAAGTGTGGTCTGGATGATCGGGTAGTGAGGTGGACTGTGAACTGGCTGAAGGAGAGAAGCCAGAGAGTTGTAGTCTATGGGGCGGAGTCTAGTTGGAGGCCTGTATCTAGTGGAGTGCCTCAAGGGTCGGTACTGGGACCAGTATTATTTAATATATTCATCAACGATTTAGATGAGGGAATTGAGTGTACTATCAGCAAGTTTGCTGATGACACTAAGCTGGGAGGAGTGGCCGACACGCCAGAAGGCTGTGCTGCCATCCAGAGGGACCTGGACAGGCTGGAGAGCTGGGCGGGGAATAACTTGATGAAATATAACAAGGGAAAGTGTAGAGTCCTGCATCTGGGCAGGAACAACCCCAGGTTCCAGTATAGATTGGGGAACGACCTGTTAGAGAGCAGTGTAGGGGAGAGGGACCTGGGGGTCCTGGTGGACGACAGGGTGACCATGAGCCGACGCTGTGCCCTTGTGGCCAAGAAGGCCAATGGCATCCTGGGGTGTATTAGAAGGGGGGTGGTTAGTAGGTCGAGAGAGGTCCTCCTTCCCCTCTACTCTGCCCTGGTGAGACCGCATCTGGAATATTGTGTCCAGTTCAAGAAGGACAGGGGAGAGAGTCCAGCGCAGGGCAACTAAGATGATTAAGGGAGTGGAGCATCTCCCTTATGAGGAAAGACTGAGGGAGCTGGGTCTCTATAGTTTGGAGGAGACTGAGGGGTGACCTTATTAGTGTGTATAAATATACAAAGGGGGAGTGTCACGAGGATGGAGCCAGGCTCTTCTCAGTGGCAAACAATGATAGGACAAGGGGCAATGGGTACAAACTGGAACACAAGAGGTTCCACTTAATCCTGAGAAGAAACTTCTCCTCAGTGAGGGTGACAGAACACTGGAACAGGCTGCCCAGGGAGGTTGTGGAGTCTCCTTCTCTGGAGACATTCAAGACCCGCCTGGACACGTTCCTGTGTAACCTTATCTAGGTGTTCCTGCTCCGGCAGGGGGATTGGACTAGATGATCTTTTGAGGTCCCTTCCAATCTCTAGCATACTGTGATACTGTGAATTCCAGAGCTTTTTCTGCTATTTCAAAAGCAAACTTAGAATCAAAATTCACAAAGGAACTTTGGCTTTACTGCTTGTAGGGCAATAATACTCTAAAAATATTATTTGCTCTTAGGATTACAAAAATAAGTACTCACATGTTAAGAAAAGCTGAATGTAATTTATATGAGTAAATGTATGAAGGGTCTTACTGTATGCAAAAATGTAAATCCCCAGATATTAATTTCAGCTGCTGTGCTGCCTTTACTAATGAAGTATATAAAGACAGCAAAAGTTAACAATTTAAACCAGCATCAGCATGGTAGCTTAGGGGGGATGATAAAGTCTTTATGATGCTGCTGGTTTTTTCCATATTCTGGTTCGTATTCTGGTAAAAGCGGAAGAAACAGAGTTTAAAACATTTTCTTAAACTTTTCCTATTATTCAGGTTGTTCTCAAAAAATACTTTTTCAAAGTTTATTTTTTCTTTAGAGTTTCACAAGACACTACACCTTAAATACTACTGTTGGCTGTGACAGTCTTGTCTTTTATAGTATTAAACTTCACCAGCAGTTACTGTTCCCTGTAATTTATGTTATTCCTTTGGTCAATACTTTGCACATGTATTTCCTGAGCATTTTAACAGAAATGGTGGAAAATATTATTTACTGAATTCAAACACTGAAGATAAGAATCCTCAAGACCAAGAAAATACTGAGCACAGTGGAATACAAATGCGTCTTCCTCACCTGCAGCACCACTTCTAACATTGCCTACACTGACTAAGATGTATTGGAAATGGATTCTGAAATGAATTTGCTTGTTCAGACCCACTTTTAAGCTACTTCAGGCTTACCTCTTTCTCTAAAGATGTTCTAGTGCCTTGTATGATCAATCTGTGACTCATAAAAGATGGTACATTAAAAACTTTAGTAAGACACTGCAATTATTCTATGGGCCAAATTAAAGGCTTAGCCTTGTGTTTTGTACAGAAGCCAACAGTAACGTAACAAAAGTACAGAAGAAAGAGGGTGCCTATAAAGGGAGAGTTCACCTGTGTATTTTTCTAAGCTCTAGCAGTGAGTTGTTTATGTACTTCTCAAGTTTAAGCTGAAAATATCAATACAGTATTTTGAAAGGGGTAAAATTCTTAGTTCTCCATGAAGCACATCAATGAAGCACACAAAATATTCTCATTTTAAAATCCATTATAACCCACTTTTTTAAGAAGTCCTTGCACATATTTGGGATATTTACTGTTGCAAATGGATCTACAGAATAACTTAAATAAAAAGGAAAAGTACCCACACTATCTGTATACATACAGTATAGATCATAATCACAGTATTTTAATACAACAGAATACCTGTTTCTTGCAGTCTGACTGGATGTGTCCTGCATTTTATTTCTGACTTGTGAATTTTGGTCATGTTCAGCAATTGTGTAACTTGTGGCACATCTTTATTTAGCTGGCAGGTTAGAGGAATAACATCTGTGGGCTCACATGGCATAACTGGAACACCACACATGGCTAGGATCAAAAAACATGAGCTTTACTTCACTCAGATGACACAAAAGAATTAAATTCGACTTAGGTTATTTGTCCGGTTCCACATATTTCATTTCATATGGTTATAACTATTTAATAGATTACACCAATTTGAAAATTTTGCTGCAATTTTCACTTTTAATACAGTATGTAAGTCTCTAAATGACAGCGCAGGTTTAGTCTGGAGAAGGCTCAGGGGAGACCTTCTCACCCTCTACAACTACCTAAAAGGAGGTTGTAGCAAAGTGGGGGGTTGGTCTCTTCTCCCAAGTAAGAAGTGTCAGAACAAGAGGAAATGGCCTCAAGTTCTTCCAAGGGAGGTTTAGACAGGATATCAGGAAAAAACTGGTCACTGAAAGGTTTGTCAAGCATTGAAACAGGCTGCCCAGGGAAGTGGTGGTGTAGACATGCATATGTGGCACTGAGGGACATAGTTTAGTGGTGGACTTGGCAGTGCTGGGTTAACAGTTGGACTTGATCTTAAAGGCCTTTTCCAACAATTCTGTGACTTGCCTGAATAAGAAAATAAGCATACAGAAAATACTAACGCTCACCAGCTGTGCAATTATCACAGAATTGATAAACCAGTAATTAAAACTGCAGTATTTTACCATGCACACAGTTCATTAAAGCTGCCTACTCATTAAGTACATTATGGAATTTTGGAACTCATTTAGAACATTTACGCACATTTCAAAAACTGTTTAGAATAGAAGAGAGAAAACTATGCACCAACAGAATTAAATTAAATGAAAGCCAGTGAGGTCTCTAACTGCAGTTTCTGCTGAGAATTTACCAGATTCTCTTTGCAGCCATTTTTTGAAGTAATTTTTCTTTTCCAACCTCACCAACAAAGAGGAGAAATCACAATGATCACATACTCTCCCTTATTTAGGTGTTCCAAATGAAGATACTTTTTGTTATACTTACAATACTGATAACGCCAGAAGCCAGAAGCCTTTTTTCACATGTGCGCTTTCAAAGCCACAAAATGAAAATTTGAGTGAAACTGAAGCTGAGCCATACCTGGGGCTCCTCTAAAATAAGAAAATGCCAGCTGTGATTCCTCCTCTATTACCGCAACTATCAGCGAGGAATAAGAACACTGCCTTGGAAAACAGTAATTCAGGATTATGCTGCTAGTCTGGAGACTGGTCAAACTTTGACCAATATCCTGCTCTATTACAAATATAGTATCTCATTTTTCAGGTCACCACCAATATTACAGTCCCAAGGAACAAGGAAATGTTAGGAGAAATTGACTAAAAATCTCAGAGAGGCATTTATGATAGTTCCACAGTTCTGTTTCTTGTAATACTGTTTTGTTACAGTTTTGTCTTGGATTATTTAAAGAAGCAATCTTTCATCAGCTGCTTATGTCCAAAACTAAGAAAACAAACAGCAAACGCTGCTAAGTTTTTCTTTTTCCTTTCAGACACTCTTTTCTTGGCCAAAACCAGATTTCTATCAGCATAATATACCCTCATTAAAACAAGCTCTCTACTTGACAAATCTTGCCAGAATTTCAACAATATACTTCTAAGGAAGTCTAGGTTTAAAACAGAGGAGTACACATACATTTAACTAGTTGCCTAAAGCTCGACACTAGCAGATTCACTATGCTGTGCTGCCACTTCAGTTTTCATGAAATCATATAATCTTTCAAACTGCCAATCTGATGACTAAGAAGCTTTTGATTTTATAATACGTACAGCTATGATTAAAAATACATGGTAATTACAACACACCATCTTTCTCAGCTGTATCTTGAGGCTTGCATTTTAAAGTGAAGATCTTTCTCAGTTTACAGTTAGCTGAAATACTAATTCCATCCAAAGACTGGAAGGCAGCTCCTCTGAATATTTCACTGGTGAATCCTACCAAGTCAATACACATATTGCACCACTAGAAAAGAGAAACAATACTCTTTAATAAAACCCAAACACTAATAATTGCAGAAGAGTTTTAGTGTAGAGCTCTCTATAAACAACATCTCTGTTAAGTATTAGATTTTCACAAGTTGCAATTAACAGTGCACATTTTGGTAATAGAAAATATATTGCTCTATTTGCACGCACAGCTATTACTTATACAAATCAGTATACATAACCTAGCAACTGACAGCCTAACTAGCATATCTACAGTATGTTTTGCAGCTAACTTGTAAGAAAGTATATTCATTAAAGGTTTTCTGGTGAAAAGAATTTGTTATTCAGTATTACTTCATAAGTTAAAGTTACTACAGCTTAAGTGCCCCAGAGGCTAGAGTTGGAGCGTCTTTGGTGAGTTGTTTCTGAAATTCATCAAAAAAGACCTCTCCAAAGCTTGCACCCCTTCCACACTGAAAAATATCAGGAAAATGCATATTATGAACAAGACCTCAGTGTATCATAAAACCTTAAAACTACTTCTTGTGTATACAGCAAGTTAAACTACCTATCTAATCACCGAAAGCACCATACTTTTTTTAAGTAACAGCAACAATAAAAAGGCAGACAACCATGTAAAAGAGACAGATATGTATTCAGATATACTAAGAAATACAGACCTTGTCTTCAAGGTTGGTCAAGCATTAAGGTTATTAAAATATTTTGTCATTAGAACTGATCAGAGCATTTAGATCAATCTCTGATTAATGTTATTGTCTAAATTAAAATACAAACCTGATAGTCATATTCTGATTGACTTTAATGTGGTGTACATTAATGCATACTTTAATCCTGAAACATCTGTGCTAGTCTGACACCAAGGCCAACTAAATTAAATCATACGGAAGAAATAATTATTTAATTGTAGTGGATCTTGAACTTCAGAGGTATGATCTGATTTATATTCATTCATAAAAAAAATCCTACCAGAAAAAGAGTATCAACCAAATTGTCACAGCTGCCTCCACCAAAACTACTCTAAAAGAAGTCATAACTTCAGAGTTTTTTTGTAAGATATTCTCTCATGTTTAGCCTTAAATCCAGATCTACTTAGTATACTAGATCTTATCTAGTTCTCTTGGTGCATACTTATATTGTAAAATATCTGAAATCTAACCCCACATGATTTTCTAAAGCGGTATTTGAGACTTGAGTCTTTACAAGGTTATGTGGTAACCATCAGGTTTTGTATTCTGACAGCTATTATGTTGTGGCTGGGTATGGAAGAGTAGAACAGGGAGATGATGATGGCTGGGAGCTTGTTCTCATTAGTTTGTCATACACATTTTTTTATATGTGCCAAAATCTGGAAGAACCTGAAGTACAGGAAAGTAGCCATCAGCTACAGTCAACCAGCAGCTCCAGTGAGTTTAATAAAAGCTCACTACTACATGGTAAGGTACACATGAAAAGGAGCACTATAATGAAGAATTATCAAGGACACAGAGAAATTACAGAGGATGAATAGACGGCAGAAGTAAGGAATAAACACATCACAAATAACATTAATCTTGGAAAATGGGAATGAACTCCTTAATGTCAGAAGAAGGGTAGAAAAGTAGCTGTACTAAGCAGTTCTGATACTACCCAGTAGAGAGGACATACACACCTACCTTGAATGAGCAGGAACTGAATTATAAACCAAACAGTAATTTCAACAGGTCTATAAACTTCCATAATATGTTTCTGGTGAAAAAAACTGTGCTCAACCGCAGTCCAAGAAATATTTCCAAGGTACTTACTATTCTGCGCTTCATTGTAAGCAGCGGAATTTTTGCATGCAGAGGGGTTACAGACAACTCCTTATGGACTGTTGATAAATACAATCTTCTTTTAATATTTCCTAAATCAGTTATCCTATAAAAGAAAAAGCAGGAGAGACCAGAACAGATTTTTGTCAATTCAGAAATCCATTACCTTTAGCTAAAATATCTTTTTATCATAAACACACTATTCATACGCAGAACCTTTGTGTCAGTGACAGCAAATACAGAATTTGAGAATTACTGCTTTTACAAGATGAGTAATAAGATTTCCTTCTCCAATTCAAAACTGGCAGCTATACTCCGGCACATAGAAAATCCAACATTTCAACAGTCTACACTCTTTGATAGCTTTCCAGAGCTCTTCAGACTACAAAATAATTCAATTTGTATGAACCGAGAACCCAGTAGCCTTTAATAATCACACTTGTTTCTGCCCCTTAAGCTTGTGTTATCTTGGGACACACTGTCACACGCTAACTAGAAAACCATTATTTGCTTTCTTTTCATAAAAATGTCTCTGTCATTTCACATAGACTCTTGTCAGCTTAAAGACAGAGACACAAGACATTGCCTGAATTACTTTTTGAGCATGTCTCTTCAAATGTGAATTATATTACTTAAGTTTATTGCTCGCTATTCAGGTCATCTGACAACAACACCAAGGACATTGTAGCTACAGGTTGGGCAAAGATGAGATTCAGAGCAGCCCTGCAGAGAAGGAAACACAAATTTTCTCTTCTTCTGTACTTGTGGGAGGTTTACCATTATCTAGGGCAGTGTGTTATTTATTAACTTAAACCCATAAGACTACCTCAAGCAAAGTTCTAGAATTTCAGAATTAAATCAGTTTTAGCTAACCTGGTAGTTCACAGCTACAGGTTGGGCAGACAAGAGATTCAGAGCAGCCCTGTGGAGAAGGACTTGAGGGGTGCTGGTGTACGAGAAAATGAACATGTGCCAGCAGTGTGCGCTCACAGCCCAGAAAGCCAACCGTATCCTGGGCTGCATCAAAAGGAACGTGACCAGCAGGTCAAAGGAGGTGATCCTGCCCCTCTACTCTGCTCTCATGAGACCTCACTTGGAGTATTGTGTGCAGTTCTGGTGTCTTCAACATAAAAAGGACATGGAACTGTTGGAACAAGTCCAAAGGCCACGAGGATGATCAGGGGACTGGAGCACCTCCCATATGAAGAAAGGCTGAGAAAGTTGGGGCTATTCAGCCTGGAGATGAGAAGGCTGCGTGGAGACCTCATAGCAGCTTTCCAGTGGCTGAAGGGGGCCTATAGGGATGCTGGGGATGGACTCTTCATTAGGGACTGTAGTGACAGCACAAGGGGTAATGGGTTAAAACTTAAACAGGGGAAGTTTAGATTGGATGTAAGGAGGAAATTCTTTCCTGTTAGGGTGGTGAGGCACTGGAATGGGTTGACCAGGGAGGTTGTGAATGCTCCATCCCTGGTGGTGTTCAAGGCCAGGTTGGATGAAGCCTTGGGTGGCATGTTTTAGTGCGAGGTGTCCCTGCCCATGGCAGGGGGGGTTGAACTAGATGATCTTAAGGTTCTTTCCAACCCTAACTATTCTATGACATTTCTAACAGATACAGACCACAGCCATGATCACAAAGATAAGGTTTCCTTTAAATCGATAAAGAGGCTCATTTTTATGTTCTGTTTCATTCAAGTCTTGTGTGCAGCTGTACTGGTTTTAGCTGGTATAGAGGGAAATTTCTTCAAAGTAACATATAGAGCTGTGTTTCAGATTTGTGTTGAAAACTGTATTGGGGGAACAGAGGTGTTTTCGTTATTGCTGAGCTTACACAGCATCAAGGCCTTATCTGCTTCTTATACTGCCCTGCCAGCAAGGAGGCTGGGGGTGCAAGAAGTGGAATGGGCAGTGAGAGCACTGCTATGCGTGGCTTAGCTGCTGACTGGGGTTAAACCACAACAGTAGCACAACCTTGTTATCCCTCAGCAATTCTTCCTTATTATACCAGAGAAGAGACATTACTTTAGAGGCTGCAATCTGTATGGGGAAGTAATGATTAATTTACCTATTATTTTTGAAGAAGAATATTTCTAACAGATGGGTATTCCTCTCTAATTAGCAGTCCCTTTGAGAAGATGAGAAATTATTACAATTAACTTTCTGTCACTAGTTAGTGTTGTTAGACATAATCATATTTAAATGCTGGTGTTTACTTTGAAATTGTGAGAAAGCCCTGTAGATTTTTTTATTACTGAAAACACTTTTTTCATTAGTAAGGACTATTTGTAGCTTAGCTAATTAAATGTTCCCACCCAAAATCTGCAGACAAACACCCTAAAAGCTTCTTAGGTTTCCTTAGGTTAGCTTATGTGGGCATTACCTCCAGAGCAAGTTATACACTTGAGCTATTCTGGCAATTCAAGAGTTCAGCCAAGGGCAGTACAAAATATACTGCGAGTATGTAAAGATCAAAAAGTTCTACCAGCAGATGTAATAAAGATACAGGAGCACCTTCTTGTTTCCCTACAGTCATTACGATCATTATGCATATCAAACAAAGCCCATAAGCCTTCCAGAACTTCTTGATTCTTTCCTCTGCCCTGGAGACCATCCAATGTTTAACCTATATAACATAACCTTCGTAACATGGGTTGGCAAATAAAAACACAGTCTACTAGCTGTTTCACTTTACAAGACTAGCAGTTAGTCTAGTCCCATGCACTTCAAAGGCAAAACCTTCACTAGTGTGCCAGGGGAAGAACATTACATCCTCACCACTGCTATCATTTGACATAGCAGATTTCAGAATCATCAGCACATATTTATGGATGTATGGATAATAACATCAAGCCCTTGAAAAGTTATTTCATCAGAAGACCTCAAAGTTTCTGACATGGTGGACTTGATCCTACTTTTCAAGATTTACTTTTATTCATGACTTTGCTTCTCATACGCCCTTTGATGGAAAAAACTATGGATGTAGTTTTCAGAAATCTCCACTCTGTCTAAACCTTTATATGAGATTAAGGTAATAAGGAACTCTAAAGAACTGAAGTAGTGATTGCTTGAAATCCCTAAGTCTCCTTGCTATGTGTAGAGCTAAGCAACTATCCTTAGGAACCACACAGTTGCAATAACCTGAGTGCTGAAGCACAAATACTATTCCTGCTGAATCTCAAGCTGTGTAATTCTCAATGCAGAATGTTGCTTTAGATGATGCTACAACAGAGAGGTAGGTGCCTAGACTGAAGTAATGCATATCTCCAAACAACTGGTAATAAAAACTGAAATTCACTTTATAATATTAGTTCAGTATGTTTATATTTTATTATCTATATTAATAGCTTTATCTTTCTCTCTCCTGAAAAATATTAGGTACCTCAGCAATAAAAAGGCCATTAGTAAAGGTACAGCTCAGTTACATTCCAAAGTGCAGTGCAGTACTGAGCACTTCCATTTAGATAAAAATACACACACATTTATATCCGACCCTGTTATGCAAGTCTAAAATAAGATTGTTCTTGTGATGGTATGTGTGTTGTAAAGAAGCATCAAACCTTAGATATATAGTTACAATCAAACCTAAAGAGATTTAAGATTTATGTTAATAATTACATTTAAGACAATAAAGATATTTATATAGTACAGGAAAAAGTAGGTGCAACATTTGAATAACTGGCAAAATTGGAAAAAAATGGTCTTAAAATTCTGTAAAATCATTTACTTCCTGGAAGAAGAGTTGGTGTAACTTTCAGACTTCAGTTGCATTGCTTCTTGGAAAAGAAACCAAGGGGCTGATGAAACTCTCTTCTGAAATAATTCAGACAACAGGAATTAGACCATTTGAACTCCCACTTATAAAATGATACAAGAATACTTGTGGTGAAACTCAACTTTTTCCTGTTATCAAAAAGCACGACCTATGCTAAACCTACAAAGGCAAGAAACATCTGCAGCACCCATCTTGATTTTCAAAGATGTACTAAAAAGACCTATACAGGAGTTAAAGTATTTTTATTATGTCTTTGCTTGAGTATTTATACCTAAGGGTCAGACATGTGCTAGAAAAGTAACGAGACCATGTTGAGAAAAATGAAGTAGTCAACAGGAAAATCAACCTAATTTATAATAATATTCCTGTGATCAGCAGGTGCATATATCTCCCAGCTACAGTCATTAACTGCATTCATTTCACACTTAACATCTACATTTGCAAACCATTTGAAAGCAAAATTACCTTCCAATTCAATTTTCAATTTTATTTTATATTTTCAGCTTTGACTATTCTCCTCACAATGGTAACTATACTGAGATTGCAAGTAAATGGTGACAACTACCCAAGAATACAGATAAACTAGTCTTCTCAGATTACCTATTCACATTGCTCCTGTTCACCATTTGTTAATGTTCTATTCAAGGCTTAAAATGAACTTAGAAAAAATGACGCTGGACTGCTACAGGGATGCTTTATTTATCAGGCTCACTTGTTCTTAAAATGCAAGCATTTGTCTCTTTATAAATGACTTAAACTGGAAGTTTACCAAACACGAAAACAGGTATTTCATTGATGTCGTTAAGCAAAGGGCAACTCCCACACAATTTGTTATTAATGGCAATCTCTTCGTATCCTGGTCAAAATCCAGATAAAATCCTCTGCTAAATCTTAACTATTAGTATGCTAGTATATCAATGTTCTTAGCAACTATAGTGCTATTGTCTCCACAAGTAGTATGTGTTTCAGAAACATTAGATAGTATCATCACCATCTCCATTTTAAAACATAGGAAGCCAAAGCAATGGTCAGCTGATGTCATATTTATGGATATCTGTTTCCTGAATTACTACCCATGTTGTGTTGGTACTCTAATGAAAGTGCTGACTGCAAGAGTTATTAACAAATGTTTGCTTTAACATGTATGTTAATGTCCTTTGCAAGCTATGGAATTTAACATAACCTAATACTTCTAAGAATGTTTCTGTATTTCACTCTTGCTTCACAAAGAATTCAAGTAGCCTTATACTACTAAACATCAGAATTTCAAATAATCCCTCCAACCTGTTCAATAAAGTTTACCTTCAGTCGCTATCTCAAATCTTCAGACACTCTCAGAAGTAAAACAGAATTAGCATCTCTGCCCTACTTCTAATTTTAAAAGGTTGGTCTAAGTTCTGCAAGATTGATTTTATTGTTCTGTATCTGAAAACATGCTGGGTCTTCAGATTAATATAAATAATTTATCATATCTGTCAGCAAAGCTAAAACGATGACTATGATAGCATGTACTTCACAAATTCAAGCTATTATGGTGCCTATGAATAAATGAGCTGTGCATGTAAAATCCAGTATGTGCTGGTTATCAAAAACTGGAAAGTAATAAACTTGTATTTACAGAAGCAACTGATGGAAAAAAAGGAAATACAGTACAACTATTTATATTCTGCAGCACTGTTCACAGGCCTTGCAATAAATTTTCTTATCAACAACTGCTTTAGGAACACAAACATTTTAAGCCCCTTCCCCTGCAGATTCCTATATACATAACTAGCTAAACTTTGACAGAAAACTTCTTAAACCTTATCAGGTATGTTCCACAGTATGAAACTCCACAGAGTTCCTGTTTATTCAATAAATCAAGAGCATCTCTGTGTTACAAACCCACTAAGCATCTATGTATAATCAAAAACATCACTCCTCACAGAGCAAAAAGGAGCTACAACTGTGGTTTCAGGGTTTGCTAATTCTGAGATGTCATTCCAAAGAGAGTTAGGAAAATGCCAGTTTTCAAAACAATACCTACCAACTGTGTTTGATTATTCCCAAGACTTCTAAAATTCTTCTCTCTTGCAAAATATACATGTGAACAAAAAGCAAGCACTTGCCTTAATTTTGATGAATTTCAAATAGAAAAAAAAAAATATCCCTAAACTAAATTAGTTTTAAAATACAAAGTCGTACCTTTAAATTACAGACTAAACCCTGTATGTGGGGAGGAAGAATTCCATGTGCCAGAACAGTCTGAGGAAAGCAGCTTTGTACGAAATGACCTCAGCGCACTGGTCACTGCTGGAGAACAAGTCATCCCTGAGTCAGCAAAGCACAACTCCAGCATAGAAGGCCAAGAGCACCCTGTGCTGTACATGGAAAAGCATTGCCAGCAAACCCTGGGGAGGGACCCTTCCTCACTACTCAGCTCTAGTAAGACCACAGCCGGAGTACTGGGTCCAGTACTCAGTTCTACAACAGAAGAGACATAGGCATACTGGTGCAAGTCCAGTGCAGGATAATGAAGATTCAGAGACTAGAATATCTGACTTAGGAGAGGTTCAGGGAGCTGAACAGGGAGGTTCAGTTTAGCCTTGAGAAGGTTCAAGGGGATTTCACTAATGTGTATAAATCCCTGATGGGAGGGAGTAAAGACTGAGCCACTCTCCTCAGGAGTATTGAAAGAATAGGTAAGAGGCAATGTGCAGAAATTGAAATATTCTCTGGTGAAGATATGTGCTAAATAATTTATCCTTCAAAGACTCTATCAATGTTCAGATTCTAAATTCATGTCAAATATCAAGCATGACTGTATGATTTTACCAACATGATGTAGGTTATAAATGCCCACTAACTCACAAACCACTGAGACTTAAAACCCTGCCTGAATTGTTGCAAACCCTATGAGGAATTTTAATAATTGAGTCAATTCTCACTAACATATTTATTAAAATAATAAAGCATTCCAAGATACCTCTACTTGCACAAACGCACAGAAGATAACAGAACTACCCAGCAGCATCAAGCAGCACACCATCCTGACTTAATGAAATAGATTATTCACATTATAATGAACACCACAGGGTTTCCAATGGCTTAATGTTTCTTTTGTTAATCCAGATCTTAGTTGTTTGGCTGGTTACAAAACTGAGTTGTGCTGGTTATTAGCAACTGGTGCCACTAGGGGAGCAGAATGCTGTCCAAGACTGACAATAACCGAAGTTCCATTCATGATTTTCAGTTTGCTCTGTTTTCAAGGGAATGTCAGTATTGAAAACATCCAAGAAATAACAATCTCATTAGCTTAATTCCTTACTGACTTGATAAGTCCCCGTGCTTTAATGCAAAGTCTGCTACCACAATTAATGGCTACAAACAGGCACTAAGTATTCAAGGATATTTTATGCACCTTACAGTAACTCAGTGGAGAAGTCTCGTCCCAGTGGCACAAAAATCTGAAGTGTCAGAAATCTCTGGATCAGTCCCACTAGAAATAGGGGGGAAAAAAAAAAAAAACATCAATCAATGTGCTGTGTGTGTGCAGATGCCCATTTCACCATCAAGCATTTCAATTTTGTACCATACAGCTATGCTACTGCAATGCTACTTCCCAAGGTTCACACAACATATGAACACAACGAAAACCTGAAGAAAACCAATTCAAGCTGCAATGCAAGTGTTGTTTTACAAGTCCCATCAGTGGCTTTGCTGGAATTCTCATGAAAATAAAATGCAACTTTTTTAATTTTACTTACAATTCTTGTGTTCCGAGAGCACCAAATCTCCCATATGCATTATAAAGTTAAGTAATACTTTCCTATTAAAATTATGTTACAGTCATATCAAACTTGTGCCCATGTTTGTGACAACATACATGTTCTTAAACAACTTCAAACAACTGAGCGAGTGGCTGCATGATTCCGAGTTACCAGCTGGGCTTATACCACGACAGTTCTTTTTGGCACCCAATGTGGGTCACGAAGGGTTGAGATAATGACAGACCTGACCAGAGTGTGCCGAGTCGTATCTGTGATAAGCATTTATTGTTTTGGATTAATAGTCACTCATCACAATGCTGAATTATCGGCTCGCAAAGTTGTTGCTCTTGATCTCAGAGTTTCAGTATATCGTACCTTACTTACAGCTGGTATTTTTGCTGTTTTAGTGTTTATTGGCTGGGGGGCCTGGGGTAAGCTTCTTATTTTGCTGTACTTTATGGTAATGACTTGTAATACAATAGACTCATTGATCATGAAACTGATCTTGCTTGCTTTTCCAGTGTGGTCATCACCTCTCTACGTTGCGGGGTGTTTAGCAGAAGTGTTTAGCAATCACACTTTTTTTTTTCCTCCTTGGGTGGTCAACCTATGAAGGAGAGGGTGAATCGAGTCAGTTTGCCGAGATGAAAGCCATCCAGCTGGTCCTGCACATTGATGAACGAGAAAAGTAGACAGTACTTTATACTGACTCATGGATGGTGGCAAATGCCCTGTGGGGGTGGTTGCAGCAATGGAAGCAGAGCAACTGGCAACGCAGAGGTAAACCCATCTGGGTTGCTGCACTGTGGCAAGATATTGATACTTGGGTGCAGAACCTGGTGCTGAAGGTACGCCATGTAGATGCTCATGTACCCAAGAGTTGGGCCACTGAGGAAAACCAGAACAACCAACAAGTGGATAAAGCTGATAAAACTGAAGTGGGTCACGTGGACCTAGATTTGCAACATAAGGGTGAATTACTTTTGGCCTGGTGGGCACATGACACTTCATGCCATGAGGGCAGAGATGCAACATACAGATGGGCTCGTGATAAGAGGGGTGGCTTTAACAAAGGACACTATTGCCCAGGTTACTCATGACTCTGAAACATGTGCTGCAATTAAATAAGCTAAATGGTTAAAGCCTCTTTGGTATGGAGGATGACGGCTGAAGTACAACTATGGGGAGGCCTGGCAGATTGACTATACCACACTCCCAATAACCCACCAAGGCAAGTGCCATGTGCTTACCATGGTGGAACCACGGAATGGCTGGAAACATACACTGCGCCCCACGCCACTGCCCACAACACTATCCTGGGCCTTGGGAAACAGATTTTGTGGTGACATAGCACCCCAGAGAGAACTGAGTCAGACAATGGGACTCATTTCCAGAACAACCTTATAGACGCTTGGGCCAAAGAGCATGGCACTGAGTGGGTACATCACATCCCCTACCATGCACCAGCCTCTGAGAAAGTCAAACAATACAATGGGCTGTTAAAAACTACACTGAGAGCAATAGGTGGTGGGACTTTCAAACACTGGCATACACATTTACCAAAAGCCACCTGGTTGGTCAACACCAGAGGATCTGCCAACAGGGCTGGCCCAGCCCAGTCAGAACTTTTACATAGGTAGAAGGGAAGAAAGTTCCTGTGGTGTACATAAAGAATTTGCTGGGAAAGACAACCTGGGTTATTCATGTTTCAGGTAAAGGCAAACCCACTCACGGGATTGCTTTTGCTCAGGGACCCGGATATGCTTGGTGGGTAATGCGGGAAGATGGGGATCTGATTTTTGGGAAAAACAGCCAATGAACTCAATTATATGCTGTTGCCTGTTAGGTAACACTTTCATAGCCCACCAACTAAGATGTCTTCAGGTCACCAGTGACTGGCCCTTACCTCCCTCCAACCATCATCCCAACAAAGAGTGAACTTTGATGAAACCAGATGAGCTCAGCAGCAACCAGACAAGTTACACAGTCTCATCAGCAGGCACCAATCCAACACTACACACTGTCTCTCCTGCTCTGAAAGACTATTACAAGAGGTAGAGCCCAACATCGTGGACTGGACGAACTCAGTAACTTTGTAGGGACTGGTCCATGCACTAATGAATGATATCTCTCTTTGTGTGTGTGTGCATGTGTGTGTATATATATACATATATATATATGAGACAAAGAGTGTGTATTGAAAAATGTGGGATCTGAGCGTGACATGAATGGTATGGAATAAGGAGTGGATACTGTCCTTGGTTCAGCAGCAGTCATTTTTCTCCTTCTTAGTAGCTGGTGCAGTGCTGTGTTTTGACTTTCAGCCTCGGAACAACCATGACAACACCAATGGTTTTAGTTGCTGCTCAGTAATGTTTACTCTTACCAAGGACTTTCTGAGTCTCATGCTCTGCCAGGGAGGAGGGGAAACTGGGAGGAAGCAGAGACAGGACACCTGACCCAAACTGACCAAAGAGGTATTCCATACCACAGCATGTCATGCCCAGTATATAAATTGGGGTAGTAACCCGGAAGGGCTAGATCACTGCTCAGGTCAGGCTGGGTATCGGTCGGCAGGTGGTGAGCGGTTGTATTCTCTTCCCTTGTTATTTCCTTTATCGTTATTATTATTGGTGGCAGCAGCAGTGGTTTGTGTTATACCTTAGTTACTGAACTGTTCTTATCTCAACCCGTAGGAGTTACATTCTTTCGATTCTCCTCATCTCTCTGGGAGCGAGGGAAGGAAGAGGGGAGTGAGTAAATGGCTGCATGGTTCTGAGTTATTGGCTGTGCTTAAACCATGACAGGAAGTGAACCCAGCAACACTAGGACAGCATGTATCAACAAGGATCTTCCCTTCAGCCATTACTTTAATTTCTCTACCTTTTACTTCTTTGTATCTGACCATCTAAAAAGTTAATGAAAAAACACTTTGCTACTACTGAATTATGCCCTAAGTAAGGGAGAATAGAGCAAGTTTAATATTACAATACGAGACTGTTTTAATAATCAGAACATCAGACATTAGATTCTTTGATACTTACATGTTTGTCTGGTTTCCTTTGGTAGCTGCATTTTGTTGACTTGACTGTTTCCTTCAAGTACAAAAACAAAGCCTTTTACTTCTTTATCATATTCCTACAGAAAAGAACAATAAGCAAACATAAGCATTGTGATAGAATTCTTCTCCTCACAATCAACCACACCACTATCATGCAAAGCTGAATTTTTTACATCTCAAATGGCAGATGGCAGTGCAAGTATGACAGGAGTTCAAATATCATGCTAATCAATTTTTATGGATTATGTCCTTTACTTGCATGTTTTATGAACAAATAATGCTGACAAACAGGACTCATGATCCAATGGGCCCAACTCAACCCATTAGGTAGCAGAATAGCAAAATCACTTCCTAAATATTTAAACTACAAAATTAATTTTCATTCACATTTTTTTGTTTTATACTCGTTTTATAAGTGTTTTTTTAAAAAAACTTACTTTCCATATAGCTGATGGATTGCCAGAAATCTTCCATATTGCTTCTGGGTTCTTGCCTTGAGCACTAAATATTTCAACAAATGGGCCACCCTAGGAAATGATGATGAAATGGTTTAAGGATACACCATCCAACTACATATTCAGCATTGAATCACCAATGGTCAAGATGAGTAGATAAGAACAATCCCTCCCCATATTAGGCTGTTACCACAGACAGTATTACTGATCAGTCAGACAGCAGAACATTAATAACAGCTTCTTGACTACTGCAACATAGCAGTTAAAACAGTCAATATTTGGCTGCAATGGAGAAGCAGAACATAAAATTGAAGGAATACCATGCAATGCTTTAAATTTTATTTTAGAATGTCATTTTCTAAAAAGCAAAATTACAGTAACGTTTCATGTTTTGAGATTAGTAATTTATATTTGCATATGGTTAATTTCTACCATTCACCAAATGAGGTGAGTTTTAAAACTTACTGCTAAAAAATAAGCTACTGCAGATTGAATGCTTTGTCTGATTTCCTATGGAAATGAACTTTATACAATCTGTCTACACAGGTATGTTAAAGACATTTCCCAGTAACTCCTCTACTAGTTACCAATTTCCAGCCTGATCTGACCAGTCTGGGAAACTCACAAAAATTTACCATCTTTACTGGGCCAACTTAAGTGGCCACATAGTAGATCTGACCCTACCAGTATTACCGTAAATAGGGCTGTACTCATGCTGCAGCCTTCACAAGACATCAGATCATTAATAGTGGAAAAAAATTATGAATGCCCCTACCAGGTGACAACTCCTTACACAGAGCATGTGCACTATTAGACATCAAAGAACCTAACCCCAGGCTCCTGAGGGATGCAAGTTTTATCACCTCTCCTTAGGGAATTATTTGCTTCAATATTTTTCCCATTTGATGTCACATTTTTGGTGACACCTGATGCACTCAGCCTACAGTTTGCTAAGCATTTTCTCAGCAGCATCAACCATTACAACTCTGCTGCTCTCTTCTCATTCCTAGTTGCTGCACTCCCTAATTCTTTCTGCTCAGCTGCCCAAACAATCACCCACAAGTCAGAATGAACAAGAGGGGTGAGCAGTCTTGCCAGCAAAATAAATGCTCTTCAAATTATGCTTTCAGAGAACATCAACTCTGCACCATGTACCAATCAGGCATTTTCCTCTGCTCACCCACACCTGGCATCTTCCATCCACATAGCTAACCCCAGTGACCAGACTAAGTTCTAAGGAGATTCAAAATGGCATTGCAGAAACTGCAGTCATAAAATGTATTTTAAATTTATAAAAATAAGTGGCTTTTTCTCCCATATTTACAAATACCTTTTGTTAATACTCAGCCCTTGAGTAAGCCCTCAGTTGAGGTTAAACTTACTGAACAGGACATAAAAAACTACCAGACACGGCATGAGAAGAAGCTCCTTATTGCCATGGAGGATGGCTGGACCTCATGGGTGGCCAAGGGGGAGTTAAGCAAGTAATTGTCAAACTCCACAATCAACTGGAGGGGAGTATGGAGCATCTTTTGGGGAGCACAATCCGGCAAAGCTGACAGCACCAAGGCAATGGAACAAAAAAATACTATATAAAGCTCAGATAGCCTAGGTAACAGCACCGGAAATACCAATTTCTGGTACAGACATAGAACACTGGGGACCAGTGGGGGAAAGAGCAGTTACAAGTCGGTTGCTCTCTTCGGAGGGCACTGGTGTAGAAAAAGGGAGGCAAAGCATGGTGAAAAGAAAGGCCAGGAATGTGAATTAAATGAAGCAATAGATGTTGTTACAACCCTGTGCTGGACCAAAAGTAAACCAACCCCCATTTTCTGACTATACCTGAAGTGCTGGATTTGCTCCCATGACCACTTGGGAGCAGATGATGTGCCTTTGCTGGCCAGTGAGAGCAAAGACAGACAAGAAGCCATGGGTAACAGCATGTTAGTGTCCATGCTAGGCCTGACAGCATCAGTGGCTACTTGCTATTTTATAACATTGCTAGAAAAAAATACTGAATAATGAAAAATTCCAAAACATTTTTGTTTCTGGACTTTTTGCCCACCCCACTTCCCCCCAACTAAGCCAACTTTCAGTTCTCACAGAAATTAAATTAAAAAGGGTAATAAAAACCTATTTGTTTTACCTGATACTGATTTTTAAACATTTTCCAGTTTTCACAGGCAAAAAATCAATTTCAAGCTTCTCAGACAGCAATGTCTTAAAGTTGCCTGTAAATAAAATAAAAATGAAAACCCAATCAGATATCAGAAATTTACCCTGGGCTGTTTCCTGAAACACCAGTTCAGTTTAAACTTTCAGATTTTAAGGAAAGGGAAATTTAGAAACCATGGCATTTGTAATAAGCCTATCAAAAAACGTAATTAGTATGTTGATCTTATTACTTTCATGCTGCCGCTGCACATCGAACATGGGTTGCATGACTCTGTATTTTAGACAAGTTTCCATACAAATCTCCCACTTGTTCAATTAGCATAATTATTTTTTTTTAAGAATGACTACATCAACAGCTATATTGAACTATTCTAAATTATGAACTAGATGTTTTAGAAATGCCTTTTAAAGAATGCAGTTCTAACACATGTATTTTATATATATATATATATATATATACATACACACATTCATCTTACATACGAAGCATTCATTCCGGAAAGCACCGTTTGTCCATTTTTTTCTCTGCAGCCTTACCTTTGCTATTATCTACAGCCTTTAAACAAGCCACAGCTACTGAAAATTACATGATTCATGTCTTAGAAGTAGTGGCACCGTGGAGCTAATCTCAGAGTCACCTACTGCTTTGATTCACTTGGGCAGAGCTAAATGTGAACGACCAGTAGTGCAAGAGGGGCAGAAGACAGACCCTCCAACAGCATATATTTACAATGAGTACTACCACAACTCTCAGTGGTGTACCTGTCCTTCTATAACTGAGTATTTCACAATTCACACCCCCAGGTTTTATGTATTAATTTTAAGTGAAGGAGGTAGAAAGGAAGACGCTGCTTTTACTTGGAGCAAAGCCCTTTCACTTTTGCTTTAAAAATCTGTTCCAGACTTGCCAAATGGCATGCATTTCATACACCCTCACCTATTCTGCAGTTATGTTATGCTTTATTACATCTCAGGGAAAAATATTAAAGCTAAATAAATGTAGGGATCCTGATGGAAGAGTGACTGTATTAGAAGTATAAAGTTCCAAGACTGAAAAGAGCAACTCATCTCTTTCACAGACTAGCACTAATATTCTGGTCAGGAGTCTTCTGAGACTGAAATGATACTATGTATTTTGAAAAAAACATTTAATGTGTAGCATGTGTAGGTCACTTCATTACCATACCATCCTTCAGGATTGAAAGGTAAAGCTACTTTCCAAGGTGGACAGCTACAGTATTTGTAGACACTGCTCTAGTACATGTAATACTTTTTCTTCCATGTGTTCTCATAAAGCATATCTGGCTTTCATAGGAGCCAGTCCATGAATGGCAAATCACACAGGGTTGCGAAGGAAGACACAAACAGCTCTTCATACAGTGCATGAGTGGAAGTCACCTTGATATATTAACTTGGGTTCAACACTATGCTAATACACTTTGACTCTCAGCAATGCTTATTAACTCTGGCTTCACATCACTAATTTAAATACACTGTATTGTACAGAGATAGTTCTCAGTTGGCTCTGAGCACATAAAGAACATAAATAATAAATAAATAATAAAGAACAAAAAAACGTCTGCTACTAATTAATTCTTTTTAAGTGGAAGAAGCAGGTGTCTGAACTGAAAAGTTCTCATTCGAATGATGTTTAAGTTAGTAAAGATGATCAAATAATTACAACTTCCATTAACAGGTCACAGAAAGGGTTGAGCATGTATGAAGAAGTAAGGTCTAGGAAGTATACAGTAGCAGAAAAAATAAAACTGTGCAAATGAAGGACTATAAACCTCATACCATCGCAAGGAGTCCTCAAATTGTCAGCTAAAGTTCATTGTTACAAAATGGCTTGATATTTGTCACCAATGTAGTTGGGTTTTAAACTGACATACAGGAAGCTAGTTTATTTACTAATTTGCAAAATGTATTTTATACAGACTCAGGAAACTGATGACCCTTGTAAACTTTTAGTTCATAACAAGCTAGCTCATTTTAGTGAAAGGGAAAACAGACCCAAGGTTTGTAAACTTTGTGTTGGGACAATTCATTCATACTAAGCTGATTACTGTAAACTTTGTCAGTTTGTCTTTCATAAAGGCAAAAAGTATTGCAAGCAACACTGCAATACATATTTGCCTAGATATTGCTTACTTGTAACTTTGCAATTTCCATTAAGTTACTACAAATGAAGACTACAAATTACCTTTGTTATTAAGATTGGTAGCTGCTAAAAGCATTAAGTGAATGACATTTATCATATAAGTACTAAGATAATATTAAGAAGTGCTTTCATTACGTATCAAGTATTACTGTCTTTATAGTAACCTGTAATTAAAACCAAAAGAGAACAGCCTGGAAAATTGATAGTTGCAGTCCTTTTCACCTTTCCTCCTCCAGAAATTCTAAAACTCAACCGTGGTTAAAATCCAGTGGGACTATTTTAGAAAAACCAACAGCATCTTGAAAACCAAGCCCTCAGTATTTTGCATATTTGTCAAATAAATAGACATATTTATACAGAATGCCATGAAGTAGCAGTTCACTCATTTTTCAATCACAGATCAAACTTCTTTTCTTATTGAACCACGTACTTTAGGACATCTCTCCAACTGGAAATACAAGCTTTAAGTGTCAGTCAATGACAAACCAAAAATGTAGCTTCTAAAGGTAAGTGACAACAAAAGCTATTTCTCTTTGGAAAAAAAGATTCCTGTCAGGATTTATCTTGCAAGGTCTTTATTGGTTCACTAACTCTAATCATTAGTTACACAATGTTTCCTGCATCAAAGGGGCAGCAGTCCAAAGAGGCCTCTGATCTTTCCATTCACACAAAACACTTAAGACCCTGCAAAAATATCTCCATCCTATGACTTCTTCTTATGTGTACTTTGTTGCTTTAAATTATAATGTTTCATTCAAGTATTTAAATATTTTGTGTTTATGTAGGCCCAGGAGTAAAACAGTTACAAGCAAAAGAGCATTTCACAAATAGTAAAGAGAAACCTTCTGCATCTTTAAATTATCTTACACTAAGCAGTACTCTAACCCCAATGGACGGATTCATACAGTCCCACAAACCTTCACAATCATAGTCCATTTTAAAGCAAGAGATACCTCACATAAGTATATAAATACATTTCTATCATCAATGTCCCAGTGTTGAAGAAGCTGTGTTAAGATTTTCTATTCCAAAGTCAAAAGCGTGAAGCAACATAAAGTGAATTTGCACCTCCTACTGATTTGCATTGAAAAATGACACAAACACACCTTTTTTTTTGCAGGGAACATATGCTTAGATCCAGGACTGTTAGTACATATAACTTACCATGATGGGCTCAAAGCCAGTGCTGATTTATGGTAGGCTGGGACACACCAGAGAAAGCACTTCGTTACTGATGAAGGGTTTTAGTATCTTCCAGACAAATGAATTCCACATATGGAATATTTAAAGCTGGGTCTGTAACACCACTATATATCTCAAAATACAAGTTAACATAACAAATGGCCAGAAAGACCATTAATAAGCTATACTGACATTACTGGTGTTCCTATGTGACAAGCAGCACAGACAACTTTGGAATAATTAGAAATCAAACTTATACTTAAAACGTAGCACTGTTCACACATAAAGGAAAACTGGACTTTCAGGGGAAGGTGCAGCTACACCTGGTATGCCAGGAATGCGCACTCCACAGCGGTTCCCATGGCAACACTGACAGAATGGAGCAGAGTGGAGATTCTGTGGCCACACGCTGCCCTAACACCAGCAGAGATGGGAACTAGAGGGTACTAGAAACTGATAAGCTGCATAATTGCTACCCTGAGCCTACAGCCTGTCATCTGTTGACAAACTGCTGTCCTTCGTGCGAACTTTGCTTCATTACAGTGATTTTAATAGACTATAATACAAAAACACACCTCTATCTCTAATCCTACTTGCCTCCAAAGTGAGGTCACCCCTCTTTGAGCATGCTCTTTGAATTCTTTGTGGTATATACCTTTAAAAGCAAAGCAAGAGAACTTTATATTGATAATAATAAAGGTATGTATGACTAGAATACTCAAGCTCCACCCTTAAGGTGAAAAATACTATAAAATGGACCAACAAAGAAGGAATATTGTGGAAGACACTACTGTGGATGAGTCAAGGAAAATTCAATCAGAGATCACGACTCCTGGGACGGCTCAACGGGCTGGACCTTTCCCCCCCCCATAGGGAGGCCTTTAGGTACGACTTTCACTGTACTAAGTGGCTCCCCAGGAAAACTGGGAATCTCTATACAATAGAGATTACTTTCCACCTTTTATATTTTAAAGCCAAGCTGTGCTATTCGTAACTTTATTGCGCGTTTGTATAAATTATCTGCACATGCTTTTGCAGACAGTGTATTTATCACTGGCAGTCTATAAGTACCTGTATCTGTTACTTTAACAAACTGCACTGTTTACGTAGCTAATCGTAATAGTTCTCCCATTGAACGCGACCAAATCCTTCAGTGTGGCCGTGTTAGTTCATGAGCACGATGAGCCTGAAGGTGTAGTGATATCGATCGTGACCCGACTGAGAGAGGTAAATTGGGCATCACTCAGAATCTAAGCCTAGCGGCACCCAGCCCCGATAACATCTGAGAACCAGCCGGAACGCGAGGGGGTTACTTTCTGCCATATCTTGCCTTTTGACGCGACACCAGCCCGTACACACAACTCGCAGAATTAAGAAGACAGTAACAAAACCCCAGGTCTTCTCTTCCATAAAACGCCGATCACAAAACGCTTTGACACAAAATCCACGATTCAAGCCCTGGCGTCCCCACAGACCCGTTTCCGTGCGCCACGGGCCCGGCACCCAGAGCCGGACCGGCTCCCCGCCCCTCCGCCACCAGGGCTCTCCCGCGGGCCCACCGCGGACCAGGGCTGCCGCAGCCCGAAGAGCTCCCGCCCCCGCCGCGTCTCACCTGCGGAGCGGGCAGGCCCGGGGCTCGGCGTAGGGCAAGGGAAGACCAGGTGGGCGGTGGGAACCGCTTAAAATGGCGGTGCCTGAGGCGTGGCCTCGCCCCTTAATTCGTGTTCTTTCAGCGGCGGCTCTGGCGGTCTCCTGGCTGTGGCGGCCGCGGGCCTCCCTGTCCAGCACCAAGTGAATAAAACCTGGTCACAGCTGGCACAGGAGGCAGCGCTGGCCCCCAACAGCGTCTCCCTCAGGGCACCCAAGGAAGAGGGTGGCTGTGTGAAATGGCGCTGTGGCACCCAGGCCTGTGCAGAGTCAGAGAGAACTCAACTCCTGAGGAAGGTCTGACATTTCACCCTCATTGTGTGAAGTGGGTTTGGTTTGGTTTCAGTAGGAAGCCATGAGCCAGAGCAGCCACGTCCAAGTCGTTGGCTTTTAAGGAATTAGAATGGACTTGCAGGTCTGGCATTCTCTCAGAGAAGGAAATGAGGACAGCCCCATTAGTTTAACATCACTGTCAAGAACAAGCAAACACTTACTGGTAGCGTCAAAAAACGGGAAGAAGGTCAGGGAGAACCAGTTTAATCCTGGTCATTATAATGAGATACCAGTCAAAGAAGACCTTTCCTTGAAGTGACTGCTTTTTTGATCAAGCATTTCTTTGTTAAACTTTATAGCTTTTTCACACACACACAAAAAAAAAAAGTAATGGAATACCTTTTTCTTCCTCTAATGTTTCCACAGAGAGCCCATCAGAGCATGATGAAATACATGAACTGAAAGTGCAGAGCCACTGATGGGTTCTGCAGTGTCCCAGCCCACCATCACCCTCTTCAACTTCCTTGCTTTTGCCAAGGAAGGGAATGGGTTAAATCAATTATAAGATGTATTTGGCTTTCTCATTTTACCTTGGGATCTTCAAAGAAATCACAGCCAGTGTGGCTCTATCATGCACTGGATTACACTGACTGGAGTTCTGAGGTGCTGGAGAGAGGGAAAACAATAATACTAAAACTGAGCTACAGGTTATTAAATCACAACAGTTAATAGAACAAGGACAAAAGAGAGATGATAGCAAAAGAAAGGTTAAAAAGCTCTTGAGGAGTTCTGTAGCCAATAGAAACTACATACAGTTCAGTATATACAGTTTCACCTGATCTTATCTTGAAACAGAGTGATGTGTAAAAGCCAAATTCCTTGTGGCAGGAATTAGGCCAAGGCTTGAGGAAGTAAGACATTCCAGTTAAAACTGAGATTCAGGCTCAGAGCCTAAATCTTATAAAGACATATGAAGCTTATAAAGACATATGAAGCAGCCAGTTGTGAGTGTAACATGTGGAAGCAGCTGCCTGACAGCTCAGAGCAAGATAGGGTTGCACAAGTCCCCTTTGCCAGCTACCAGAGAAAAGTGGTTTTTGACATACTGTGGGGTGATTTTATTTTTCCTCTGTTTCTTCTAGTTTTGCGGGGGGGGACGACACCATAACATATCATTTGTTGTAGACACTGTAACATCAGGAATTGGAGGTAGTGTAAGACTAGCAAGGAACCTTGTGTCATTAAATTGGGCCCACCTGGGCCTGAGCTTATCATACTTCCAAGGTCTGGTTTATTATGCTAATGTACTACCATATTATGTATGGTAATAAAACATTTTAGGCCACTGTCCAGTGTACACCCAGGCATTCTATGTCATTATCTGTAGATCCTTCTTGCCATTCCTGACTTACAGGGAAGGGAGACATGGTGTGCCTTGCTGCCTGCTTTCCCTCATTGGTAACAGCTGCTATGGAGCTCAGGCATATTTTCCCCAGTGCCAAGACAATTTTAATTTCCTTTGAGCATTCCTCCTTAGCCAGTGACCTTCCTGTGAGTGTGTTTGCCAAGATCGTGTCATGTGGGGCAATTTAACTGCGTGGTCACCATTGTATCTGCTACCCTTTGTGGGTCTCTGAAGATTTTCCAGCAGAATGTTTCCTCCTTCAGCCATGCACGTGAACTCTGACCTTTGTCTCATTTTTATTTGTACCTTCGTCTTCTGATACAAATACTGTTCAAATAAATAAAATGGAATTCATTAGTTACCCTGGCTGTCCCTATTTGATCTTGTACAAAAGAATAACTGATCCGAGAGATGCATATAATCTCTCCATCAGCTGAAGGCGTTTCTGTCAGAAGGATGGAGTATCACCTTTGAATCAGAAAACACAGCACTTTGGGGATGACAGTTCTTGGGTAAACGTGTCACGGTTTAAGCCCAGCCATAACTCAGAACCACACAGCTGCTCTCTCGCTCCCCTTCCTTCCTCCCCCCGCACTGCTCCCAGAGGGATGGGGAGGAGAATCAAATGAATGTAACTCCCACGGGTTGTGATAAAAACAGTCCAGTAACTAAGGTATAACACAAACCACTGCTGCTGCCACCAATAATAATAATGATAAGGGAAATAACAAGGGAAGAGAATACAACCACGCACCACCTGCCCACCAATACCCAGCCTGACCCAAGCACTGATCTAGCCCTTATAGATTACTACCCCCGATTTATATACTGGGCATGACGTGCTGTGGTATGGAATACCTCTTTGGCTAGTTTGGGTCAGGTGTCCTGTCTCTGATTCCTCCCAGTTTCCCCTCCTCCCTGGCAGAGTATGAGGCTCACAAAGTCCTTGGTCAGAGTGAACATTACTGAGCAACAACTAAAACCATTGGTGTTATCAGCGCTGTTCCCAGGCTGAAAGTCAAAAACACAGCACTGCACCAACTACTAAGAAGGAGAAAAAATGACTGCTACTGCTGAACCCAGGACAACATATTAAAAATGAGAATCAGCTCACAACCTATTTTCCTAACCCCTGCAAATAAATACTTCCTCTTAGAGATTCTGTAAGAATCCTTATTAGACTATTTTGTCACATGGCAATTGCCCCTGGGCATGGTGGTTATGTACTTCACACCAGATTCCGATTCATCTTTTAAGGAGTTATTTCATTTTGCAATAAATAGGGTTATATGAGTGATGATGACAGAAGGACAGCAGAAAACACCTTGCAGCACTGGCCATCAAGCTCCAGGGGTTCAGGCACTCCAGACCCACAGTCAGGCTGGAAATACTTGTCATCAGAGCACGTGTTGGCCATCCTTCTGCCAAGCCCAGGGTATGTCTGTACGCAACAAACCACAGTTAACTTAGCAGATTAATTAATATACTAACTGCCCTGTTTTGACTCTTGTGCATGTAGAGGTAGGAGGAAAACCAGCACGATTGCCAAGACAGAGCGAGCAACACAGGGCAAAACTTCACCTGAACACAGACTGGGCTTAGTGGAAGACAAAATTTGATGGGAAACTTTTGTTTCAAAAAGCTCACAACCTTCCTAGGAGACTCTGAGCAGTGGAAGACCAAAATGAGGACACAAACTCAAAAAAGCATTAGGCAAGTTGCACAGGGCAAAGAATTTGATAATAGAACTAGATGATCTTAAGGTCCTTTCCAACCCTAACTATTCTATGACTCTATGAGGAAATCAGAAGACAAGACTAGAAAGGGCTCCGAGAGGCCAGGATATATCATTGGGGTGGGCGGCAGGGAGCAGCAAGCCAGAAAAAAATCAGGTTTCTCTATACAAACCCAACCTGGATCCCTCGTTGGAGGTCTGTTTTTTTGCCCTTTAGACTTTGCAGATAGCTGACAATATGCTCTAACTGTAACAAGCCCAAATCATTCCTCCTAATAGCACTGGTATTCAGATTTATACTCTGTAGCGAGTTGGAGTCAAAGGAGTTGTGCAACAGGAACCCTGCGGCAGGACAGCCACCGTGATTCAGTGCATGTGCAGCACCAAGAAAAACCCAGCAGGCACTGAAGAGTTCCCGGAGTGATTTCCTATTCTCTGTCTAGCAATAAAGACGCAGTTACACCGGGTGGTAACTCTTAGCAGATGGTGACTTTAAAAAGTCAATTGCTGTATTGATACTTTCTGAGTTTGTTCCTTTTAATTCAGATTCTCAGTAGCATGTTCAAATGTCAGAGAACATTGTATTGCTATCTTTTATCTCCTTTGTGAGCAGAAATCTTCTTGAAGAGGTATAGGAGCTACAAGCTTGGGAGGAAAGATTGGGCTCTCCCAGTATCTACTTTATAAATGCAACAATACAATAAAAAGTAGATGCAAAAAGCCCCACTGGCTTTGTTCTCACTGGACAGTTTTAATTTCTATAGCATTTTTTAAAGATACATTCTGCCTGCAATGTAACTGTTACTGGATTGGGAAGGTCCAGCAGCAGCACAAAGGCAGGTTTTCGTCTGCTGCAAGCACAGGCAAGTTGGTAGAGTGGGGTGGGAGATCTCTCATTAATCAGCTACTACTGTAGGCAAGTAAAAATAACAGGACAGCTGAATTAGTACATCACTCACCCTCCACTGCCTTGCCGTCCCAAGGTGGGTGCCAGACCCTCACAGCAGGCAGGGTTTTGGGGCTTCACACAACTCAGACTGGCAGCCATAGGCTTTAAGGCTGCACTTCAGCATAAACTAGATTCAGGCAGACCAGAGTCAGTACCTTTGGCTCAGACTGCAAATCCAAAGCCTGTGCAACAGCTCCTGAAGGCATGAGAGCTGTTATATTGCTCTAAGCTAGTACCATGTATGGCCACTGGGTTTACCTGCTTAATCACACTTCTTTACTCATCTGAGCAAGGTGGCAATTGATACTGCTATACCTGTACATAGAAGCTACAGTCAGAAGGCTTTTCTGGTTTTCTGCAAGATGTGCATACGTGCTGTCTTTCTAATAGTGTTCTAGATGGAAACCATATCCCCAAACTCTGTAGCAAGGGAGAATGTCCAAGTCAGCATGTGCTGCTTACATTAAACTCAAAAGGATGTAGTGCTCTCCATCCAAAGAGGAACCCCTGTGAGAACAATGGGTTAGGCTCCAGGGACTTCACTCCACAGCATCCAGCAATCAAGAGACATCTGTCAATAACGACAGTATATGTTACTGCAATTTGCTGTAGCATCAGATGCCAGCAGCCCCCTGCACAACCCTATCACATACACCAG